CAATGACATTACAGAACCCACCTAATGGATGGAGCAAACCAGCATTGGAATTACTGAATGAGGTCCGGATCAGTGCGTAACCAACTGGCTGTGTGTTATTAGGGGGAAAAGTTCTGATAAATTTGGTGATCATGGTAATGTTATGACTGGTCATTTCTAGAGGCCGCCTCGCCTATGGCAGTAAGCATTGTGATAACTATTGTGCACAGCCACTGTTTACATGACAACCACTGGACACAACTCATTGCTTCCTACTGTTAAAGGAGGCTGTCCAGAATTACTAGTGAAATGTCACTGAATTCATCTGCAGTCATACTTTGCAAGATTCTTGTAAAAAGTGTCAATATCTTGAGGGAAACTTACTGCGAATCCAAAATGCCTGGGGGCTCTGAATTTCAATCTTGAAGATCTCTGAGGTGAAGTGTCATCGCGCCAGAGAGTGGTAGGGATCCATTAATTCATGTGACTTGCTGGTTGAATCATCTTGAGGGTCGTAGTCATGAGCAGGACCTGTTATAAACATGCAGAGTTTTATTACAATGCATTGTACTTACGAACATGTACATGGGCCGTTTTCCAATGCTCAACTTTGTCTCCATCTCAGGCTTCGAGTAGGAAAGCAATCCTCAATTGTGGGCCTGAAGTGTTTAACTTAAACTGAAATATTGTAATGTTTGGCTCTTGTGCATCTCATTTGATGTTTGGTGGCACTATCAGACTTATTATTGCACTTTCAACCTCAAAGTCAGGAAGTAAAAAAAACAGTTGAAGCCTGAGACGGAGCCAAAGTTGAGTATTGGAAAACGGCCATGGTATTGTAACTCAGAGAGGCTAAGCATATGTATGCGAAAAGTAAGTCGCTGCCCAAACGGACAGCTTACTTAAAACCTGACCAATGGGTACAAAAGCGATGAGGCAAATCGCAGCAAAAACTTCGGTAGGCCCCATCCAAAATAAATTGGGGTTGTTGAAGATAACTTATCTATACATAAGGGTGCATGTACTTCGATTTAATCAGGACTGCATACATGTACACTGATGTATGTGCACTGTGTCTGTACTGTACAATGCCAACATGTTATATACACATGTATGTGCCATGTGACCGTTAAACTTTTGCTTGAAGTGTATAGTACACCTGCTATGTAGATTGGGCACTTAAAGATTCAATGTTTTTAGGAATGTCATTGCAAAAGTGGTATGTGAAAGAGGTCCTACACCAATGTCAAAAATGAACATATTACACTGTCGCTGTATTTTTCACAGTTCAACAAATTAACTCCTACTTATTTTACTGTAAATTCCTCGAATGTACTGCAATACTTGAATCCTTTCTAATTGAGGGCGGAGGGTACAAAATTCTGCGATTCGAGAGATGGGATTTAGTTTTATTCTGGGAAAACCAGAGACAGATTTCTTTATCTCCAAGTGAGAGAAAAAAAGAAATACTTTCAGAGAGTTGTCATCCTCGGCCTCATTCTGGTTAGCTCTGGCGAGGGCTAATTCCTCAATTGGCATTTTGCCAGCACTGTAATGTGTGTAATGGCAATTGGTGCTACCTCAGCAGTCAGGGTCTCATCAGAACTTGTTTCCTTTTTGTTGTCCATTTACGGTAGCAGGTACAGCGCTGGTATCACAAATCATCCTTACTTCCTACTGGAAACAAGAATTGAAACTGAAGTCATTTCCTAGAACTATAGAAGTCATGGCCATACTAGCACAGCCAATGAGGAAAACTGAAGATCATGGCTGGAAATTCAGTGTGATTGAACTGTAATTTCAGACAGTGTAATGTTAATGACGGTACTGGTATACCTGGGTGTAGTACTTGCTAGGTCCCTTATTTCACCACTTACTGTGAAAACCACTAGTGGCGAAATTAGGGACCTGGCGACAATACGGTCACAGACGTTAGGCATACAAGTACTACTTCCTGAACTGCTAGGCACCAACCCTGTGATGTGTCTTGCAGTTCTGGGAGTCGAGCCACTACTTCCTGAACTGCTAGGCACCAACCCTGCAATGTGCCTTGCAGTTCTGGAAGTCGAGCCACCCCTAGCTTTCTCTTTCTCCCACTGGCATGACTAACAATAGCTGCATAGAGCAGAAATAAAACATTAGAGTTAAAGGCAAATGCATTATACCATTCTATTTCTTCAGTGAAAGAAGTCCCAAAAACTGGGGAACTGAAATTTGGAAGCACACATGCACTGTGCAGGTACCAGGTAGGCCTAACGAGGTCTCCATGTTATGTACATGAATGGCCTACTTCTGAAAAAGCTGTGGTGTGATGGGTTAAAAGTACTTTAGATTGGTTGCTGTTTCTTATACTTCTAATGTTCCAATCCACGGCACTGATTGGAAACAGAAACCAGACCGGTCTGATAACAATGGATCAGAAGATCAAACAATTTATTGCCCTTTCTACAAAATGTCTTCCCAGATATGAATTTACTGGAAAAAGTAAATAAAAACATCCATAGAAAGTGAACATGCATGTAGTCAGTAGGAATGGATTGACAGAAAAAATATACAATACCAATTAGATGTACCGTATCTGTGATGCAAACTCTTGGAGGTAATGCTGCCCTCAATCGATTGAGCGGCAAAGACACGGGAGCGTGATGTCAATTTGTCAAAACTTCTGATCAATCAAAATCAAGAGCAGAACGTGTGTAAATTGCCCAACTGCCAGTATTTTTATTGGGGGAGACCTCTTGATTTGAATGGGGGGAGGGGGCATTGTGTTTTCTTGGGGTATTGAGACATTTGGCATTAACAGGTTTTATTGATTCAAAATCATCAAGAAAATATGGTGGATTAAAGACGAAACTCGTAATAAATTAGAGTGTACAATTTTCAGTTCCATTTTGTGTAGCTGTAGGGGTGCTGGAGAAGAGTGCACAACATGGGAGCCGACTACTAGAGGGTACTCAACCTAGCAGTAAAAACTGACAGATTCGTGAATTACCATTAAATCATTTTTATCCATTTCAACATTGCTGGACGTCAAATGGCATAATTTTCTAAAACAAACCTTTTACCTTTTCCAACAGTCTGAGTGCTACGTGCTACAGGCCATAGGCCTCAAGTTGGTAAGTTGGGACAACCCCCATCCACACACACTTTGCCAAGCAAAATCATGACATGATGAAATACTTCTACACTAACAACCAGAACTCACATCCGTGGATGACGATGTCACAACACTTAATACTGGAAGCCTTCAAACCTGGCCCCACTTACTGCTTCATCCCTTCCAATACAATGGATCCATCCTCTTCCGGCAAAAAAATCCTCCAAAAAAAAATATACAAAGAAATGGCAGATAGTCCATGCAAAATCTCCAAAGGAACACAAAAGTGAGTATCTTCAAATATTTCCATTTTATTTTCTCTTAATGTAAGCATTTTGTTCTTTAAAGCAAACAAAATGCACAGATCTTGTAATGCCCTAATTAAAAAAATACCTCAACCGTTCAGAAAGCTGGTATGATGGACTTATTGCTAGTCTTGTCACAAGTTTTCTTCATTAACCACTTGCTGCCGGGGAACTCCGTTTCGAGCACCATGGGTTTATATGCAGAGCCTGGGTGCCAGAAATGGGACAAAAGAGCTGGTCCGTGTAACAAAAGACTGTACTTGGAACAAAAGACCTGCTGCTGGAATTGACATCATTTTTTCAGCTTCCATTTTTCAAAGGTAATCCATCACTGTTTTTAAACAGTATACCACTGTTTTGGGCATAGTGCGCCCGTGGATTAGCACCGCGGACAAAAGTGCTCCAGGGCCCAACTGATGAGCGACACAGCACCCCTGCATGCTAATCCAGCCGCATTTGAAAAGATGCCACTCGCATTCACTGGGGACAAAGGAAATTACACAACACCTCACAATTCTGGGCTCTCTTTACAGGGCAGCGGCCTGGCTGAAATATTCAGGAGTCAATGAAGGTTGCCTGTTGGCTTTGAATAGCCACCAAACAGTCATTCAAGTGGGTGTAAACGTCCATTAAATGAAATCTTGAATTTTTGAAGAATTTTGAAAACTGAAACTCTCGTAAAAATCTCCTGTATGTGTGCAGTGCATTTTTAAAAGTACCCGGCAGCAAGTGGTTAAATGGCAAGTTGTCTGCCTATACATAAACAGTAGAAGTTGGGAAAGTTCCTATGCCTCTATAAAGTGAATCCTGAATTTCTGCATTGTGATCAGGTTGGGAATTTTGAAGAATTAGACTGTGGCATAAACTTAAAGCAAAATGTGCTGCAAACCTACATTACAGCCAATATCAAAATTTATCTCTAAAACACCTCTGCATACCTATAAAAGGGCATGAGAGTCAAAACATTATGTGTATGTTCACAGTCCAAAAGGATTTCTTCTAGAAACTGCAAGGAAGTTCAGGAAAGGGGGCCACGTAGAGGGTGGGATTCAACATCAAGAAACACCCACTCACAAGTGTACAAATTCAGAGAGAGATGCACAGAAAATGACTGATGATTCTCAGATGGAGTCTAGCTCCCTGAGGCAATTGAAGGCACGACGAAGAGGAACAAAAACCAATGATGAATCTTGAATAAGCCTCCATTTTCATAAGAAGTCTTACTGAACAAATGTTGCAAAAGTTGATGTGGTTAATGCGACTACAGATTAGTGAACAGATGTTTGTGTGAGTTTTGAGACTTGCTTGAGGGTACACAATTTCTAACTGATGTGAAGGCACTTCCCTTCAAGCTTTTACATGTCAAGCCAGTCTGGTGGCTTCTGGCATAAGACTCGGGAAATTTGTGGATGTGCATTCTACTTTGAATCACTAGATTAGGACCACGATTTTAAATTTGTGTGATACAGGGACACTGCTTTTCACATGAATGGTACTGTCTTTAAGGAGGACTGATCAGCTTTGGTGGGCAACCCAGATGGTTTAAAGTCAACCTCATCCGATCATGTGCACAGCAGATTGAACAATCCCTTGATATCACTGCTTTAATTGCCAACGAGCATCAAGCTATGCCAGGAAGCTTCACAGCAACACATTGGAAATCAACTCATGACTGTTGCTGGACCTTCGCTGCTAATGTTGCCCGATCTCTGCACACCCTCAGGCACCTCGTAGAAGGAATCAACTCGGTCAGCTCTCTCAAACAAGATGATGAGCTCGCAGTGTTTGGTGTGGGGGAAGAGGTCAACGGCCACTGCTTTGGTGGGTCGAAATGGAATGCCCTTGTTGCGATTAGAAACTGGTCGGCAAAGGCTAGAGGACAAAGTAAGTAAATCACAACAACGGTGATGGAAACATTTTAACATCGCAACTGATGGCAGACACTTGTGTCAAGATTACAAGACAAAGTGTGCGCACACTCAATACAAAAAATGTTACCAATATAAAGCAATTCAACAAAATTAGTCAGTTATACGGTGAGAAAATTGTGGAGTGAAATGGAAGAAAATAGAGTATGATTAAAACGTCGAATGTTTGGAATGAACTTCCAGATGTTGTCACTGTGTACACATGAAAGCCAACTTGAAATAACTGAAAGTTTCTCATTGATTATCTCAGTTAGTCTCAAAAGTCCTGGACACAACATTCACACATAACTTTTGAGTACATTTTCAAGTAGCTTTAAAGGTAAAAGTCAACTCCTACAGAAATTTTACCCGTTATTCATGATTTTTCGAGTTCAATCTTTATCATCCGACTTTGTGCATTTTTCAACAGCAGGATTTATCAACAATCAGAATATGGAAAAGTCAGAGGGAGGAAATTCGCATGTCTTGAAATAAATTCTTAGAGTATTTTAGTTTTTCATTTTACATTTATAGCAAGCCTAGTTTGGGACTGAAATATTCACCAAGGCTATCATGCGATATCACAAATGGATTAGCAAAAGAACTATTCACTGCAGCTTTGTTTTGCACATACGACTTGTAATGTGCAAAGAGATAAACAGTCACAAGTAATTTTGCAGTCGCAAACATATTTTGTTTAGGATCATGCACACTCACACAACAGTAATAACAATTGAACTGAGCATCAGTCACCAATAACTACTTGGTTTGACTCACTCAATAAAGTTGTTGATGGCATTCTGTGGATGGCAAGACACGTATATCAGACGTCTCAAGTTGGCGCATCTCCGGATGGCCTGCAGGACCTTAGTAGCTGGAATTAGTTCAAGCAGAAAGAGGTCAATTGTACAATATGGAAATGAGGAAGGTGGGACATCACAGGTCTCCTAACTTGCAACACTTCTAATTCAGTTGTTACTCACAAACCTTATGTCCAGAACGATGAGGTTTGCCCATCACTGCTGTGAATTTCAAAAATTCACTTGAAGGGAATCAAAACCCAACAGTTCATGTTAATTGGTCATACTATGTTTCATTCTGTATCGTTTTTTTAGGTTAAAACACCATTACAATTTTCTTTCAAAGGAAATACATCTAAGTATAATGAGATATCCTCCTTAACCAGGGCTTAAAAACTCTTACCAACTCCAAAAATTGTATACAGAAAATATATCTCACCTATCACCAAACTGATGTCCCTTGCTATTTTCAAAAACAAAGGTAAACAATTCCATATACAAATAACGATAAGTTTAGTGACTTACGCATCCCTGGCCTGGGCGGATCCACAATTCCCACCACATTGTCACACCTCCTCAGATCAGGTGTCATGTCTGGCAAGACTACCTCAGCTTTGCCGCACACATACTCAACATTACTTAGATCTACAACATAATGAGAGATTAGCAAAAGGCAACGGTTGAAAGAGAGATGACAGACTGTCATTCATCGTACAGCATTACAGGATTGAGAGTGAAAAGTCAATATATGACATCATTAAACCTTCACAAGCACAACTCCAACTGTGCTCACCATTTGGCTATTTCATTATGAGGAAACCAGCTTTTCAAATGACACGTGAGAACAGGTTAAGCATTTACTCAGGAAATGAACCAGCTGCAGCCCCGTAACTAATCTCACCAGGCTTAAACATTTTAGGTAATCATGGAACCAGCTGAGATCAGGTCTCCACAATGTCCACTAGTACAGTGTAAAATATCAGATCAAAGAGCAACAAGGAAAGGCAAATCTTATCCCTGCATGGGTACAGGTGTTCCGTTCGACGCACACAGAACACACATGCCGCAGAAAAATTGGAAAGAGTTTCCCATCCGGAGATCACTTGACACTCGATCTGTGCACAAACACTATGAGACTGGTCAAAAAAATCTCGAGTGCTTTCTAAGTAAAGACCTTAAATTTTCCCTGTAAATTTCACTTTTTTAGGACGTATTATCACTCTAATGGCTGATGTCACTGCAGGGAAAAATTAGTGATGTCAATGTATGGAATTCTTCCCAAACCTAACTACAGGACTGGATGTATTTCCATTATCAGTAGACCTTGGAATGTGCAAACCAGTTTGGTTGTGTACCAGTATCTATTGATGAATGAGCACAAGATAAAAAACCACCAAAGCTGTGAGAAATAAGGCTTCATAAAGAACTGCAGAGACAAATGCGGCATCGGTGTAACACAACAGAATTCTAATGCTATATCTCAAATTCTTTACTAATGCACGGCAGAGTTCCTTTTCTCACACACACACAAAAATCTTGCACACATTCACATGAAAATCTGTTGCCCAAACTGCACACCAACAGCCACCATGGTTTCCACGTGCCAAACTGGTTTGAGCGTGCCACATCCTCAAAACTGACCATCCACAGTTAGCCACTATAGCACCCTCTACAGTCTCTACAAAAAAAAACCAAAGCACTCACTGTTTGCCTTTGCATTGAAGACTGCATCCTCCACAGCTTGCTGGTTCATCTCGATACCAATGACCTTCTTCACTCTCTGAAGGGACAAATGAGACAAAGGACGGAGTTGGAGGAGGGGGGGGCCTGAACTGAGATGAAAATTTGAACAGAGAGTTCCTACTGAAAACAGGCACGCATGCACAACATGTTTGGCAATCTGGATGGTATCAAAGGTAGCTTTACCTTGGCTAGTGTGATTCCGATAGTACCAGTCCCACAGCAAATGTCTAGAACTGTGGTGTCAGGAGTCACTTCAGCCCAGTCAGCTATGGCGGTGTACAGTACTTCTGCAGCCTTAGTGTTTACTGCAAGAACAGAAAAAAAAAGCAGAACATCAAAAACACAGTACATTGCATACAAGTCTGGGTATAATCTTTGTATACGACTTGTGACTGAGACACAAACATTCATTTTGGAGCGGCGATGGTACACAGCATGGTTTTATACCCAAGAGTTTGAAGTAAAATACATCACTCTTTGTACAACAAAACTTTCCTACTTTCCATACAGGTTCAATAAACTGTTTTTAGTCTGTCTGCTTTTTTTATCACGCAACCTGCTCATGCCTTCTGTTCGTAATCAAAGTCAAACCTTTCACAGTTTTTAACCAGAGTCTTTTTGACATCCTTGTTGACCACCACTTCAGTTTATTTCTGTTGTGCAAACAAATGTTCAGGGACACAACTGTTCTGGGGAATATTAATCGATCAATCAAGATCATGCCCACTGTTGCCTTGATAGTGGTGAACAGGTTGACTGCTATGGAAAATAAATGATACCTGAAACACAATTTCATGTCACATTCAAACGTTGGAAAGTGCTGCAGTAAAAAAGAACCATTTTGACAAGTTGTCCTGTGAAGAACATAATTCTGCTAAATTATACATTTTGAGTCCATTTGGAGCTGACCAACAGTATTCATGATCAGAAAAAATGTGCAATAATCCCAACCCTCCCCCCAAAATGACAGTCCAAAATGTGAATGAGAACCTTTCTTTAAAACGGGCGATTCACAATAGTACGCCTAAAAGAGTTTACAGTGCCTTGACAAATCACAACGCACGAAATCTGTCAACCCTATCCAAATGTGCATTGGGTCAACAGATTTTGCACATCGTGATTGGTCAGCACGTTGCAAACTCTTGGAGGCGCACTATTGTAAATGGCCCATTTTATGAGCACAGAGATGCACAAAATAAAGAATGCACAACACATGTATGTTTATCATTTAAACTGGTGGAAAAGACATGCAGTTTGATGGTAAGGAACCTTTTCATATTGCTTCACGACTTTTAGAACTTGATTAAATGTAAATTAATCTAAATTAATTTAGTTTACAGTCGCATCCAAGGTATTCCTTGGCATGAACCGTTGGTTCATCTTGTGATTTTTTTTCACGAAGTATTGAAGATTTTACGTATTTCTATCTTCCAAATATCCAGTCTCTAGTTGAAACATTCGATAAACTTCAAACTCCTTCAATTCAACCACATATCACCAGAGCTAGGGAAAAAGAATCCATATATTTTAAAACTTTGGGTTTATGGGATAGCTTGACCATGAACTAACCAATATGTAATGAATTCACTGACCAAAAACGAAGACGAGAGAGAAATAAGAGGCATTTTCTTTCCACGGCGAATCAGGACGATTTCCGAAACAGGCGGGGTCAAATCTCGCATTTTGGTTGGGCTTGTGACATCAAGAGGGAGAAGGCGTAAACTTTACACGCATGCAGTATGCAAAATGTATTTGTGTGGTCCTGCTGCATCAAGTTAAACCAGGTTCATTAAGTTCATACAGGAAAAAAATGGATATACTTTTTATTTATCTTGTCAATTATAAAGTCTACATATTTTTGTCTGGAGCATTTTTGCAAAATGAAGACGTAGAATTTGTCGAAAGTGTAGTGGCATGGACATCACCACTGTGCTGTCTAAGCTAGAAAATCCTGTGGACTTGTGTCTGGTAATAGACTACCCAGTCAGTGCAAAAAACAAGGCGCCTTGTGAAGCGGTGACCAGACCACTGCTTTGTGACTGTGCTGTTGTAGGCTTATTTCATAGTTCCATGTATGATTCACATTTTGCTGTCAATTTTGTGAGAAGTATGTTAAGTTTTTCGGGTGAAAGTGACCATGGATACGATCAATACGACAGAGAGGATGATGAACTTATTGACATCTAGAAAGACAGCATAGGACCTGCTGTTGAAGTTCAAGGTGCTGAGCCTTACCAATTTGAGCCTTTGGCCGTGGCCTGACCAGAAATCACAACAGATGTCGCTCCAATGAGTGCTGAGACTTATGCTTGACAGGAGGCGTGACAAAACAGCCTTGACAGTTTCATGGGACATGTTCAAGTTTTTCAAGATGGGTAAATCTGATCTTAACAACACTGAGACTCAATGTCAAGGGTAACAACCACCAACTACACAAGACTGCGGCATGTTTCACTTTATTACTAAAAAGCAATGTATGGACCAAATGAACTTGACACGTGGAACAAAATCAATGAAGAGGACAAAGTTTTGCTGCACCACGTGTAACATTACGGAGGTTTAGACATACGTATTACGCAAATGTGAATGCAATCGTGACAATATCTTATTCTCGCATGGTTGTGCAGGCATCCTGCACAAATGTACATCTTCCAATGAACACTCCAATAAAAGAGACAATACGCAAGAAGCAGTGACGCCAGCGAGAGTCCACACTTTTTTCATGTTCGTGTTCACGTGGAACATGCAACTAAACCTCTCTATTATGCACTGTACTCCTGAGCTACCCAGATTGTTTATTCTCTCTTCTCCCCTATGACTTTTGGGGTCACTTGCATATCATTAATTCATAATGAGCATTTCTGATTTCGGCTTCGTGGTGACCCATGTTTTTGACATTTTTCCTACCACAATTGAGACAACTACAGATTTTTTTAATTTTCATTTCCAAAGTTGGTATTGTAAACTGTTGTAAACTGGTTATAATCAAGGAAGATATGGTTTCCTTTCCCTACCTCTTTAACCACTTCCTGCTGGTGCATTTATCAATATTGATGATGCTGGGGCGGGATATTTATCATTTTTTTCTGTTTTCAAAATTCTTTAAAAATTCCTATCTTCATTTCCTGGACACTTACAAACACGTGAAGGCATGTCTGGTGTCCACTCTAGCCAGACAGACAAAATCTACTGATGCCTGAACATTTCAGCCAGGCCTGCAGCGTTGTAAAAAGAGCCCAGATTTTGTGGTGTTACGTAATATTCTTTTGTTCACGAACCTGGCTCAATGCGCTGCTGACCTCTTTTCAACAGGGGCCAGATTAGCATGCAGCGGTGCTGTGTGGCTCATCGCTGCGGTGGTGGAGTGCTTTTGTCCCCGGTGGTGATCCGCTCACTCTAAATGCCCCAAACCGCGGTATACTGTTTCAAAACAAGGCTGGATTATCTCCACTTTTGAGAATGAAAAAATGTAGGTAATGCCCAGCGGCGTGGTCTTTTGTTCCAAGTACGGTCTTTTGTTAAAAGGCCCTGTTCCCTTTGTCTGAGTTCGGAGACCCAGCCACGCATATAAAGCATACGTGTTCGGATCCGGAGTTCCCGGCAGGAAGTGGTTAAGCAAATGATCAAGTGTTCTCAGCATAGTTTTGCAGGAGAAAAATCCAGTCTTACTTTTTGCTTACCTTGAAAGAAGGCATCAGGCGATATTCTGAACTTCAGACCAAGTAGTTCCTCGGTGATGTGTTCATCTCCAGCCAGATGCTCATAGCTTTTGCTGCTACAAGAAAACAAATCCCAACAGAGATCTAACTCAGAAAAGAACAGCTCACTCATGAAAAAAAAAAAAACAATCAGGTTTGATACACATATGCTATTAACAGTGCACCTCCAAGAGCTTGCAACGTGTCAACCAATCACAGTGCGTGAAATCCGTCAACCCAATGCGCGATTGGAAACTCTTGGAGGCGCACTATTATGAATTGCCCGTATTGTTCTAATTGCCTGGAGCACATGGGAGACCTTCCCTGGAAGGCCTCGTGAAACACCTGCAACTCAGTCTAGTACCAACCTTTCTCCCTGGAGACTCAGATACAATGACGTCAGTTGGCAGCTCTGCCCCTCTCCTTCCTGAAAATAATGGCGGAGTTTCTGCTTCTCAGCATCTATGACTTCCTGTGAACAAACCCAAATTGAAAGATTCTGAATGCTGATGGGATGCATTTGAAAGAGTCTTCAAATGGGTGCATCCTGGATGGGTGAATTGTGAGGACCACTTGTCACAAGTTGATTTCCTGAATAGTTTGGTCTGTGCACAGAGGCACTGGCTGCTTGCTCCATGGTATGCCCATTTCACTGTACATTTGCTTTGACGGAGTATTTCAAAACACTGTTACATCATAACACTTTTGACCAGACTAAAACTGCCAATTTAAAATAAGAGCCACAAAAACCTGAGGACTTGTTACAACCTGCAGAAAAATCCAGGTCAGTGATAGAGTTAATGGGTTTTGCAGTTGCCAATGGCAACCTGATCACCATTTTAAAGGAAACAAGCATTATTTCAAGAAAACCCAACCTTGGACAAATCTTGCGGGTGCATGCACGCGGCAGCCATCTTCCCTCCATCGAGGCTTGTTCTGACCAGCAGCATCCCCCAATGCCCACAGTGCAGCTGGGTGTCGTAGCTGGACAACGAGGACTCCTGCTGTATGTACTGCTGGAAGGAGTTGACGACGGCCTTAGTGGAAGGACAGATGTGACAGCAGGAGGATGGGTTGACCACAGACACATGGCCACCTGCCAAGCAGAATATCAGCCAAAGAAACAATGAAGACTTTATTTTCCAAAATTTTTGTTTGGAACATATTGTATCATTTGTCAGACACTTGAATTTTGTTCTTCTTATTGTTAACCAAACATTTTACAAGTTTTTCTATTCTTAAGGTTAACTGAAACTGCTTCAAAATGTGAAGGCCAGTGTTATTATTGAAGAACACACAAAGACCAAGTATGTAATAAGATTCCTGGATCATGTGACTGACAGTCTTGCCTCTAACTGTTGAAGAGGACATCATGAAAGACCCGAACTCAATGTTAAAAGTGAAAGATAAGATTTTTAGCATAAAGGCTTGTGCCATAAAAGTAACTTTTGCTGGCTGTTAGAAATGAGGTATTCTCAATATCAATAACCATTTGGTCATTGGAATTTCTTCTTTTGAGGCGGTAAATTCTGACAGAAATGGCCATGTAAGACACACAGGTACATGTATGTGGCCCAACCCACTGAGAAAAAGAGCTTGATATCACCTGACCTACTTGTACTTGAATTACAAATCATTAAACAAATGCATGTACTACACAGCGGAAACCAGTAGGGACTGTCAATGATTTCGCACACATTAAATACGTGTATAACAGGACGTCTTACTAAATGCTGAGGAAGAACAAATGTTGTTTCTTATTTACACTTGAATAAAAGAATGATTAAAAAGGACCCTTAAGTCTCATTTTGTGGGACATCCGTTGATCAAGTTTTTCATTTTCTGATTGGCTGGTTACTACTTCAGTACTTCATGTGGTACGGTATATCCAATCGTCATGTTAAGAGAGGCTATGCCCTCATAAAGCATTGATTCATTCAAACATGAAAGCGAATCTCAGCCAATCAAATGCCTACTTGTTCAAGGGAAGTTCCAGATTCAATCTTTACCTTTGTAAGCTCCAAGCCGGAAACCAACCGTGTTATCTGTCAGTGGAAACCAAGACGTGAAACTGAGAATTACATCTACATAAGTATGAAATCACCAAGATCACAAGTCACAGTGTTTTTCAGTAGAAAAAAAGATGCAAGCATTGGAGCCATGCCAAACCAATCACAAGGGATTCATGTGATATGCCATTTGGCCAATTACTTCTTGTTTTCCTGCCAAACGTTTCTGTCATCAGCAAATGAGGGGGCCTCACAGCTCAATGATAGTGGCTCCATCAGTCTGAGACATTTTCACATGACGTCTAGGTATGGTGACAGGGTTTGCATTCACATCTTAAGACATAAGGACCGATTACAGTAGGAAATGAAACGTGAATCAGAGATGGAGATGAATCTTAATATGGAAAAGGCTGAGCCCACTTGCCACTAAATAAACAAGCCATTAAACCCCACCATCATTATGTTTTGAATTGACCAATCACAGCAACAACTGCTCACAAAGTGCGTGCCCAACACTGGGACACAAAATGTGACACATACCCATTGGTGGAATAGAAATCTGACATTAATTTAAAAAATGAAACCCAAGGTTAGCCTACCTTTAGCCTCTACACTCTTCCCGATGGTGAACTCACATTTGTTGCGATAACTCTCTAACACTGGCTTTGAGGGGAGGGAAAAACACCAAAAATTGACAACACACATCAAAGACTGCGATGACTGAAAATAAATTGATGTGATTGAAACTGTGCTAAGAAATCTTAGAAATAATTGCCCGGGGGTAGAAATCAAAACACCATTCACTGTCTAGATGAGCTCACAAGGCACAAACAATATCACAGTTTATATGCACCATATAATGCTGTCAAAGTCTGCACACTCACTCATTCTATAAAAATTTGGTTAAACAAACACAAAATTAAAAGGTTTAACTGGTTCACTCACTGACTGCTTGATTGGTTCCAACTGACAAGCCATCCCACTGTGGTTCTTCCTGTCAAAGACAGATTACAAGAAAGAAAGAAATAGTAAACAGCCTTGAAAAGTGCAGACACCACAGTGCAGTATGTGATCAGAATTTATTGTGCAACTTGAAAGGTCCTCTACTGTTTTTCTGACCGACGACCTTGATGACCTAGAAGATTTCGGTGGACAACTGCCTTCCAAAATATTTTTAATAACCAATAAGCTAAGAGGAGATTCCAAAGTTCCTTTGCCACCAAGTGATTGCTTGAAACAGCCTACATATCACCCAGCAGTGAATCATCTATCCTTCATTAATTATACAGGGTAGGTCTGTCATACAAATACAAATGTTTGAAGGTATAAATTACTCAAGCAGGCAGAACTAAGGTAAGATATTATGTTTTGGGTCACGATTACACTGTGTCTTCGAGAAGCTGACCTTTGCTGGGCCAGCCAGGCAGACATTTCCAAAATGTTGCGTTGCAGCATCTTAGATAAATTACACAGGAACTCCCTGGTGTTGTTCTGTTTGGTGGAGAGCTGTTCCTCGTAAGGCTGGTTCCACAGTGGTGTGACAATGCTGTTTAACCTGCACATGTAGAAATGATACGGGAAACCCTACTCGGAAACGTTTTCATTGTTCCACAAAATATCAGCTGATTATTCTATTATAGTGGATTGTAAAATTGGTTGATCATTCTCCATACAAGAGTCGCAATACACGTTCCACATGCATTCAACTTACAGGCTATAATATTAAATGTAAAAGCTGACTTAGATTAACCCTAACAGTCCCGAATACAAGTACTACTTAGTAGTAAAACGTAGTACTAAGCCCTGTCGCTTGTAAGAGGACATGACATTATTATTCTCTGAAGCCATAATAATACAATATAGAAGACAATGTACCATACAGTGCTGTGGCACTATGAATGCATGATTTCATTATTCTCTGTACGAGTAAAAATGGAATAATGGAATAAACCAAGCCTGCAATAGTAATCTGTAGCGCTAGGTCCTTCAGGCTCAGAGTGTTACATAGTATTTTGGAGTACTGAGTCCCCTCATCCAAACCATGCCCGGTACTATTAGGGTTAAAGAAAAATAACTCCTTCAAATTCCAACTTTACACAATGTAAGCGACCCACAGGAGGAAGAACTGACAGGATACATGTATGTTGAATGCAGTAGTTTGCCTCCAAAAGTCCAAATAGCGAATGAAGTGATAACTGTCCCTAAGCATAAAGGATGATTCATAACCCAAATAAGGTGGGTATTTCAAGTGCCAAAAACGATTTAAGTTAATTTGAGAATCAACACAGTAAAAAACACTTCCAGTGCTCTTTGATTTTTCTATCAATTTCACCAACTAGCGAACTTTCCAATCATTTGTAGTTTCAAAAAGAGTATGAAAAATCAAACAAGAAAGAAAGACAGAAACTGGCGCTGGGTACTTCACTTGGTCAATAACTAGAGACCATTTTCCACTGGATGATGATTCAAATCCAGCCAAGTCCTCCATGTTTTCCAATGCAAATACAGATGCATTTCCTTTAAAGTCCGAGTACCTCTCTTCTACTGGTAAGTTGTCTTCCTCTTTCCTTTTCTTGGCCTCTTTGCTGTTCTCCTCGGATTCCTCTTGGCTTCTCTTCAGAGCAATGCTCTCGGTGTACGGATCCTTGACAGGTTTGGCAAGCTACGCAAAGATCATGAAGAAAAGAGTCTTAAAGGGTAATCAGGCTAAGTAACCTCTCCATGGGAGACTACTGGATACGTGCAAGCAGTCTAGCTCTTCGGTCTAACGTACAGTAAAAAGAGTTAATAAAGAGTTGTTCCTTTTTAAGGCTTTGTATTTACAAATCTACAAGTTTACTACAATTACAATACCATAATTTCAACATCAGAGTTTGTGATGAAACTATCAATTTTATGCCTATTTTCTTGAAAACGACTACAGGAGCAACTTCCACTATTTTTTCACTGCAAACACAGTGCAACAAAAGGGAAACAATCTGAAGTAGACTTCTTTCAAGTGAAGTCGGACCTGAAATAAAAATCTGTCTTAGTGACTACCTTGGCCCTCAGTATTTGTCCTTTCCATTTGTGTCCGTTGAGAACCTTCAAAGCCTCCTCCTTATCTTCTTCGCAGCTGTGGGAAAGGTACGATATCAGTGTGAACAATGAATGTCAGTTGTGAGAAATGACACAGGCATCCTTTACCCACCATGACTCTAACTGAACTGGTATGTTTAATTTAAACTCTCATTTGATGCTTTTACTCCACAGCTACAAATCCTATTCTAACAGGATAGTCCATGTACATGAGACTAACAAACTCATAATGACATGAAAAAAGCTTGAATAAAATTGTCGCAAGTTACATGTAACTTTAGATTGGGTTCTGTTTGCACTGTTGTTGCTATCAAAAGTGTCCACATAATTACAGGCTGGCAAGCTTCAGTGAGGTGAAACTTAGTCACCAGTCACCTGGTTTTGCACATGTACATGTACAACAGTATATGTGGTTGTAAGCTCTCAGGACAAGTGAATGCCCACTTGGTTTTAATAGTTAGCTGAGGCTGTGGTTGTAAGCTCTCAGGACAAGTGAATGCCCACTTGGTTTTAATAGTTAGTTGAGGCTTGAAAATAAGATTTAAAAGTGCAGTGCATTTCTCTCCATGTAAATCACAACATTCTTTGGGAGGGAAGGCTGATTATTTTTAATGTGTAAAGACAAAAGCAAATGATTTGGTAACCAAAGATCAACTAATACACCATCTAACAGTTATCAACACAGCTTTGCTGTGTATTATATGCACAGCGGGCAAATCTGCCTGAGAGTAAGGGTAAAGGGAGTAAAGGTAAGGGAGACTGGAGGTCTCCAACAAACAACAAAGGAGATTTGTCTTGCCTTTGCCTTTCCGACAATCAAGTAGGCCATCAAGCTCACGTGATGAACTGACAGAAAAACGTCATGGATCCATTCTTTTTCACATAACGGTTTTTACTTTGATATCAGATGATAAAGAACAATTTCACTTTCAAGGTTCCAGGTCTTTGTTGATGAAGTGACTATTTGTATTTCACTTGTGCTTCTTCATTATCCAAACACCAAAGCTGAGGGCTGTGTAAAGTTTCTTTGTACGTACTCTTATTTGCATTTCATTTCATCAGTCATGTCAGTACTTTCACTCCTGTAAGTGTCCCCCCCTGTCACGCAATTCTAATCAGATTCACTTGATCAAGTGCTTCTAAAAAACTTCCTGAAGTTGTTAATGCTACGTGTAGTAAAAATCAGTAGCAGACATCAATTTCACTTGTCTTTAAGGCCATGTGAAATAGGATTTTGATAACTTGAACACGTACATGTATGATGTAGAAAAGCTGTTATGACATGTTTCTATAACTTCCCATCTTCTTTGTGGCAGTAAAAGGGACAAACTTCAGCATTTTGGTGCTTCATGCTAATGAAAATTTCCATATTCATGAGCTAAAGTGTGATGTCATCAAAGGCTGAGTACAGGTAGTAGTAACTCATACAGCTTTGTGTACAAATATTTGTATCCGGTACATGCATATCACACTTTTCTACATTTTCTTGGAGAGAGCTCCACTTGTTACTTATTACATGTATGTACATGGAAAGCAGGTTTTTTGACAATAGTAACATTTGGCCAATATTTCTTCCAAACTTTGTTGGGGTAATTGTAAAAGAAAAACTGTTGTACTTTTTCTGTTGCTCTGTTGATAAGTACTGCCTTGTGTAACAAAACAAAAATAACTGCCTTCTAAACTGTATCAATGAAACGATTTTACTATGCATGGGAAAAGCTACCACCTTTTTGAAATTTTAAAGAAAGAAGTATTTCAGTCTTATTTGTATTGGAGGGTAAACAGCCTTGAGAATTAGGCATGACATGTTTTCTTTTAACTTAAAAAGAAAAAGTACTGGGTTGCAAAAATCAACAGAAAGTTTGCATTCTAACCTGAATGTCACAAATGCATAGGTTGCCTTGTTGACTGCCTTGACTTTCTTGGGCTTCAGCTGAAGACCATTCAACATTTTCTTCAATTGCTGTTGAAAAATACAGAAAAAATGTTTCTTGAGAAAGGCGAGTTCATATCAGAAGGAATCGGGAAAGCACAGAGTACTACATGTAAAACCCAGTTACTCTTATCTCAATTCATGAATAAGACCAAAACAAATATTGGAGTAAGAATATTGTCAGCCCACTGTTTAAAAAAAAAAGAAATGCCGATGGCGAGTCTAAGCCATACGTAGAACACTCCATATACATGTATATGTAACTAAGCCTTAGTTTGAATTGTGATCTCCCTAAATATCACCTTCACTGCAGTTGTGTGAGTTATTAGAATTCTGTACATTTATACTACTGCTGTCGATGAAATCTACTTCAAACCCACTTTCTCCTTTGTGATACTACATGTTGCAAAAACAATGCTATACACCAACACGTACATATATGTACATGTACATGTCACTGATAATGAAACATATGAACACTTTACATACAAAAAATCACACATTGTGAGGGAAACCAAAAATAAACTTAAGACAAATCCATACATATATCCTTCAACTGTGAAAGGCGCCTGTATGCTTTGCTTTCACTGCTGTCAAAACAACGCATACCACTTCACCCTTTAAAACAAGTGAGAGGAAAACATGAATAAGCTTGCCTTTCAATTTTATATTTTTCAAGGTCTAAAATTCTACACTGATATACATGTATAAGCAAAGTAATCTTGCACTAGGACACACTACTTCAGGCAGTGTCAGTGTCACATGAACTGCATGCATAGGAGTATGGCTACCAAGACAGCTCCTAGATGTATTAGAACATCACGAGAGCTTTAAAAGGAAAGAAGTGACCAAATGCTGCGCTTTAGAACTGAAATTATGCACCCATCAGCCTCCTCTTGTTGGAAACTGAGACACGTGCTGCATGTACATGAACTATGGATGATGGCTGCCGACATAGCTGCTCTAATGAGTGGCACGTACATGTACATGTACTGACAGCGTTCGAGCCTCTTCACAACTTAATTAAGACTAAACAAAAAAGCTCCCAAATAAAGTTCTCAAGCACTACTATCATCGCACCCATCGGCCTCCTCTTCAACCTAGTGTTTCTCTTCACAGTCATCCGAGTGAAGTCCATGCATACAATCATCAACATCTACCTATCCAATCTGGCAGTGGCTGACTCCCTGTGGCTCCTACAGGACTTTCTGTATTCACTTTTTATCCCCACTGAGTACAACCCCCTTGTGCAACAGACAATTTTAAGTTTCCGGTACCTGTTCCAAACTGCTTGTAATTTCTTTGTAGTTACTATTGCAGCTGAGAGACTCTCTGCAGTATGCCATCCACTGACGTTCAGAGAGAAAGCTTCTAAATCTCGAGCAGTCAAGATATCAGCAGGACTCTGGCTGCCAGTAATCATCCTTGGTGTGACTCTGATATTCTTACCGAAGAATGCCTTCATTTTCTTCAACTTTTGGGTTTATTATATCACTGTCTTTGTCTGTTTAAGCGTGACTCTTGTTTTGTACATCTACATTGTGGTGAAAATCCATAGCAGTGATACTCGAACAGCCCAATCACCAAATCGTCTAAATCAAGCAGGCAAGGTCATCCGCATGATTATTGTCAATACAGCTATTTTTTTCACTTTGAACTCACTGGACACTGCAATAGCAATCAGCGCAATAGTAAGAGACAACCTTACATTGTTCACCCAGTTGGTTGAACTTCTAAAACTTGAAGAAAAACTGAACAAGTTAACTCTTAGTTCAAATATCTTGTGGCTTATCAACAGCTCAATCAGTCCCCTGGTCTACAGTGCCAGTAACTCCAATTACCGCACAGCTGTCGTCCAGGCTTTCTCATTCTTCAAACTGTGCTGTCCTTGCTACCCAAGACAGAATCCAAGCCGACCATCACAGCCAAGGGAACAGGTTGAGCTTCATGTGATTCCAAATCCACAAAATGACCAACAGCACCATGCAGTCAGGCTAAACAGCAGCAGGCCACCAAACCAAGACCTTGTACAACAAACACAGAGTCAGCAACCACTGCACAGCTGTCAACAACAATGTTCCACGTCAAGCAACAGCAAGGCATCCATGCACAGGCAGCAGCATATTCTAGTGCATGTACATACACAACCAGCAAAGATCCCAACACTTGAAAGTTCTCATCAGGAACAATGTTCTAGTTTGACTGACTGCAAGCCATCCTTGCAAGGGGAGCAGAGTGTACATCAAGAACCAGCAGAGAGCCAGCAGTCAATTGCAAGTACTCAGGAACTGAGCTGTCAATACCTTGTTAGGCCAAAATAAAAAAGTTTCCGGTTCTGGTCAGTGCGCGTTTTGGCTGTAGACCTGCTCATCGGCAAAATAAAGTTTTTTATTTGGTATAAAATGATGTCCAAAAGCTGCCAAATTTGGTTGATCGACTGGAATCCTGCTCCTGCATTATTTTAACACATTTTTGATGGTGTACAGCTGAGTAATATTTACAGTAAAGGGGTAACTCTAGTTCCTCAGCTACTCAGATACTGTTTATCCGATGATGTCATTTCTGTATTATACATTTACAGATGGGAACCAGACAAACGAGGTGGTATGAAGTCCTGTGTACATATACAAGCTTAAAATGCTTTTAAACTGAGAAAAAGTGAGGGGCCCAGTCTATTTTAGTGTTGGTAGAGAGGCCAGCGTGATGTATACAGGGCACACAGTCATGATGGAGATCGTCTGTTATATGTATATCAATTCCAGAAAAATAGGGAAGAAAAAAAAAGCCGAGTAGCTGCACCACTTTTGGCTCCAGCACCTGACCAGAAAAAGGAGGGTTATTTTGTTGGCCTTACCTGAGCAGTGCGTATTTATCCAGAATGTAGGAGTCAGTTTGGTTTGAAACTTGTCAAAAGATGTGTTCTCTGGCAACTGATTGGTGCAAGCCATACGGGCAAGAGGAGCGAACATTATACAGGCTTCAAGAGATTGTCAAGTCCATCAATATTTACATGTACAGTAAAAAATGCTACATGATGAATACCTTAAGTTATAATGAGCATTCAGACAAAACAAACATATCCCTTGGCTCCCAAAATTTAGCACGACATTGCGAAGTTTGAAATAGTCTCCTTTTTTTTTAAAAACAAGTGACATGTCTGGTATGACGGTGGTGTAAGTGTCATTTACCACTCACAAAACTAAAATAAAAATCCCCTGATACTCCATACAATGAAGCATTAATGACCACTGTACATGAGGTACCGGCAATTCCAGAAAAACATGCACCTCCATCGGAATAGTTGTACACTTTGTAGTTAGTTCACACAGAGCACTACAAAAATAACATGGAGTGTACCTGTATATGTATTATTAAGGGAAAAAATAGGTGCTTGGGCGGTCTTAAACGTGCTTGGGCATAATCGAATCCATTCTCCTGAGTAAGGTCTTAAACATTTAAGACGGGCCAAGCACATGCATGTATTCATTCCCACTCATAAATACATGTACCTTTTTATTCAGAGAATCAAAAGAAGTCAACATGTGATGGATTTCAAACAATATTGTTCTAAAATTTTACTTTCATTTTCCCAAACACCCCCGTCAGTTTTGAGGTACATGTATACATTCCTTTTGAAAGTAGTCCAACAAAATCTCCTTGTATATGGACTTGGGGCACGCTTGGTGTGTTCTGTGTGTTGCGTCGCACAGAGACTCATGACCAATAGGGATGGAGTAAACTATCTTGTATCCCGGTACCAGCAAGTGTTTTACACAGCGGGCATTAGCAAATGTAAATACACGATCAAGTCGCACGTTGTTGAACTGTTTGAAGTATAAATTTATGAATTAAGGTTAATAGGAGAAAGAGCTTTTGACAAAAAATCCTTGCTCTCTAAATTTTTTTAAATTTTTTAAAGATCAACATCTTGAGGGGAAACTCACTGCAAATCCAAAATGCCTGGGGAGGTTCTGAATTTCAATCTTGAAGATCTCTGAGGTGAAGTGCCGTCGCGTCAGGTAATGGTAGGGATCCAAAATGGCAGCATCAGCCACAGATTCCTCCGACTTGCTGAAAGAACTGTCTTGAGATTCGAAGTCATGAGATGGACCTGATACATGTAAAGATACTGGTTGGGACATATTGCATATGGGTAATTCCAGAAATTATGAGTCCAAAAGTGTGACATTTTTGTGTCCCTGTGACATCTGACCTTTGTTACTTGTCATGGAAATATCACCAGAATTGATTTCAAACTATTACTATTTGTCTGGTAGGTAATTTGCATTAATTCATCACTCTTGGAAATTAGGAAATGTGTTCTGAACTTACAAAATCATACGTCAGATGTGACAGGGACACGAAAACAATGGACCCTTAGTTTCTGGAATTATCCATTTTGTACATGTACATACCCACATGCATGCATGCTATGGCCACAGACCAAGATGCCTCATCTAAGTTCACAGCTAGTGGGCCACCACACAAATGGACACCATATTACACATGAAACCTTGAACAGATAGGCACAAGGCACCAAAAACATAGGAAGACCTCCAGACAATAGTAATTTCTCAACAAAACTAAGGGAATTTATAAGAATTCTCCATACTAAAGACACTGCTGCTGTACCTTGAGATTTAGGGCAAGCTTTTGCTTAGTTACATACACGTACATGTACATGTAAGAAGTCGCCTTGCAAAAATTCACAGTTTTTTACGGACAAAAAACAGTCCATTCCAGAGATGGTGGTCGCTATGCAAAACCTTGCCCCTAATCACAAGGTACGGCAACAGTGTCTTTAGTCTGGGGAATTCAAATTGTTGTGTTTATGTGCAAGAGGAAAACAGCACAGCGACTCAGCTGCACGATTCAGCAAACAGAAAATCCCCTTAATATCCACTGTAGAGCAGCAAAAATGACCAGGCACGCTTTGTATGACCCAGATAATACTGGACCAGTCATGTGGGACTGGTGTGTACACTACCACCATGCCCGGCATCTTGATTGTCTCCCATTCAGGTTCATTAAATGCTATGTATTTACAGGTGCATACTCTGATTGTTACGTATTTACAGGTGCATACCCTGAATGAATAAGGTGTGCATTAGATTTACACTGAGCCATGACAATATGCTGTACATATATACGCCATGTAATATCCGAGTATTGGATTAAGACAAAGGTTAGAGTATCTGCGATGTACACTAAGCACATATAGAATCAATGTTATTACGGATTTCATGGCAACATTTCAATTTCTGTATAAGACGGATCTTGATGTATATCTAACTTTGACCTGCATGTAGATCTAGGCTACCTGCTTGTTCACCAGGCCAGCACTTGGCCACTTGACAATACACCGTACATGTACATATGCCATGTTAGATTTGTTAGATCAGACAAGGTTCAGAGTGCCTCTGACTACATTTTTTTATGTGATTAAAGAATTGGTGTTTTCGGTGAATGTTGTTGAAAAAGTTTGTATGACAGAAGGATCAGCATATACATACACCTACACGTATGCGAATCTAGCCTTGGCCAAGACAGTCTGTTTCGTGAGCAAGCCATGGGGAGCAAAAAGCATTCCTTGTCTTGTCTGCAACTCACTGCATAGCTCATGTGGCTCACTAGGCTCCACTGGGAAATGGCCAGTGTTTGGACTGATGAAAACATGTACATGTGAGTGTATGTGGGGGATGCCTTCACGTACATGTACGTGATTTGGTAGGCCAGCAAGAGAAGGCTTATGGCAGCAGCTGCTCACTCACTCAGGGCAGGGCTTGACAGTCATGATCAAGGCTAAACTATCTCTGCACCACTCCCATATTGCTCATTATTTGTACGATTGGCCAGAGTTTGCAGAAATTTTCAGCTTTGTTGGCGTGAGATTTCACCACAAATGTACACATGTATTTACCCCATTACCCTCCCTCAGAAAGCTGCATACTACTAAGTAATGCTGTTTATTATACCGGTATGGTACAATGATAGTGTGATGTTTGTTAAACTAAGTGCATAATTCCTTCGCTTTTGTACTCTCGATCAGCCATAGTTTTGAACGGCACTGATAGGCAAAATACAACTGTGACATTAATGGAAAGACAGGTAAATTATTAATAAATGCATTTGGATTCAAGAAGGCAGACTGTTTTATCTTTTAAAGTCAATCAAATAAAGAAATTACTTTCAGATATGTTGTCAGCCTCGTTCTGATTAGCACTGGAAGTGAGGGCTTCCTCGACCGGCTTTTTGCCAGCGTCAACCTGTGTAACAGTGGCTGGTGCTTCCTTGTCAGCCAGGGAATCCTCAGTTGTTTCCTGTTTGTCCTCCATTTGATGGTGCTTGCACAAACTGTCCTAGATCTAGTTTCTCCTAGAAACAAAAATTGAAATTCAACTGGGTTGATAAGATGCCATGGCCACGAACAGAGAAAAAAGCATCCGACCCAAACTTCAATGTTTAATTTGCTGAAACGCCATTTACATATGGAGCTCTCCATCCCAAATGCTTGTGACTATCTTTCAAATGTCATGAACTTTAGGACTGTAGTTCCTCTTGATTTATCCTTGCAAGCATACATATTAAGTCATTGACACTTGCACTACAGTGCATTTGACTGCCACCTAGCTAGTTACACATGAGTATGCCTAGTCCATTTTTTACAGGAATTTTGACCCTTGCTTTCCTTGTCAGTCCAAGGCTGAGATAACTCTAGCTCTACACTCATAACTCCAGCAGTTTGCAATCAGGAATTTCTCTGTCTTGAGTATTACGGCTCGAGTTACCCAAGATGCGTTAGTCCAAAATTCTTGTTCCCCAATTTGTACAAACCAAAATACTCGCAGTCACACCTATCACAACACCTCTCTACTCATTAGTTCTACTTATTCATTTAAAACTTAATTGCACAACTAAGGTATCAGTTAAAAATCAACCTTTGAAGTCTGAGCAGCTATTTTTGTAGATTTGCTTGTTTTTTGTATATACATGTAGTGTATATTTTGGCAGCATGTGGTCATTTAACTTTTCTTTTCAAGAGCTCCATGTCTGCTTAATGATGGGTGGTCATGGCAGTGGGTGTTTTAGGAACTTGCATTTTACCACATCAAATCTTCATCTGGGTACACGCTCTTCGTATGATATGATGCCCATGTTAAGGTGCCATCACAAAAAGGAAAAACATGAAACAAACCAACGAGCAACCAGGTCTTTGTTCTTATGTGGTGAGGGGGTCCGGACAACTCGACCGTTTGCCAACTCGACTTCGGACAACTCGACCGTTGAGACAACTCGACCATTGAGACAAATCAACCGTCAAGACAACTCGACCGTTGATACAACTCAACCATCGAGACAACTCGACCGTTGAGACAACTTGACCGTCAGTGCGTAAAAGGGAGAGACAAGTCGACCGTTGAGACAAGTCGTCCGTTGAGACAAGTCGTCCGTTGGGACACTGTCCACTCAGCCGAGTCGTCTGCTGAGACCACGGTGTAAACTAATATACATGTATGCCTTAATGATGGAATTTCATGTAGTAGACAATCTTAATTTCTGAGGAATTTATAAAAATGGTGGCTGTAGTAACTTCATTCTTTGCGCAATCAATCGATCTTGCACCCGCGCTGCATGTATATGGCCCGTATGCATTACAGTCGTACATGTAGCTTGAAATAAAAACCTTCCTACATGTACATGTACTTGGTGTTGTCCTTCACTTCTAAATTCTCAGACAGATTTTGGTTTAAAGTGAAATGTAAACTTCTTCTTGAACAAAACTTGCTCTCAGAAAATTCTGATTCGCACATCGACATTTTGTAACGGTAGGGGGGAAGAAAATGATGAATAGTCTAGGGAGATATATGTCACTCACTGCGAATGATCCCAAATCCTTTTTCTCATATTCAACAGTCATATAAACTCTTGCATCTAATGTCTGTTTAATCAAAATGACTTTCAAAGTTGCGTTTTATTAAAACTGGCCGAAAACTGAACGCATATTGTTTCCTAGTTTTAGATCACGCATTAAGTGTATGCACGCAATATACTTTGCAAATTCATCTCGCTATACGGACGTCATGGGTTCGTCAGCTGTGCAGCACGTACAGCTGAAAAAGTTGAGTCGAAATTTACACAAGATCCAATTTTTTTAAAAATCATTGGAATTCTTTTTTATGAACCAAGTTTTTTAAATTGAGGAATTTTTCACTGGAATTTGAGGCTGCAGTCTGACTGAATAATTTCGCTATCTTGAACTGGGAAAACGACTGTATTGTGTGAAAGATCTCACTGGTCGAGTTGTCTCTGTCAAAGTCGAGTTGTCCTAACGGACGACTTGGCAAACGGTCGAGTTGTCTCAACAGTCGAGTTGTCCGAAGTCGACTTGGTAAACAGTTGAGTAGGCCCTAGTCCGACATCCGTGGTAAGACTTACTTAGACTTTTTAGTAAGAGGGAGCAAAGCCTCTGTCCTTCTACTGTCGTTGAATTCAAATAACACTGAATTTATATAAACAGGCTTACAAGTTACAAACATGATCTTGCATGTTCAACATGACCATGAGTTCCAGCTTTCTCACGAATTAGATGCAATAATATAAAAAATAATAAATACCGTAACTTGGCCTACAGTACATGCAGTCACTAAAAAGGTGCACAAATACGACGCAGATCAAGAAGTTTCTCACCAAACACGTTACTGTTAAAAAATGAAATCCTCAACGTGAAAAACCACTGACGTTAGACGACCAGACTTATCTGAGTAGACATGAGTTTAAAATGTTCAACTCCCACCGTCCCAGGCCGGCCCAGTACATCTGGATGTCACGCCGGTGCCGGTACAATGCCGCCCTCATTCATTCGCGCACGACTTGATTTTGAGCAAACTTTCTGACCAATCAAAATCGAGCATGCTTCACTTTTTGTCTGTAAAATCAGAACCAGCAACATTGCAAACAAAATTAACAAAAATAACATAACAAGTTGAAAGAAGCTGCACTCTGGAAACCACGCCTCATACATTCTCATCTGGGATTGAACTTTTGGACATGTTAGTTCGCTTTTGTGTTTGGCCCGACTGACAAGCTAATGGTTAGTCGAGCTAGTCCTATGAAACCGAAGATCAAAATCAGCGCTGACGTTGACAAACATTACCCCCCCAACCTGCCCCACCCCCTCCCAGTGGACACACCGCCGCATAGTAGTACAATACAAGGATCTTGTTTGCCGAACTTACCCCCGCCCCTACACTTTCCTGATTATGGCCTGTTAAATGTGTACCCTTAGGGTGGTGTCAGGTGATATCACAATCATTTTCTTTCCACCCATCCCACCCCCAAAACTCTGGTCAGCATTTACACTGATGTCATGTGTTAAACAAGTCAAATTCCTTAATGCTAGTGTTAATTATTAAACACTACTCCCCAATACTCTAAACACGCTTAGTATCTACGAACTGATAGCAAGTGCAAGATTTGGGTGTATAGGGAAATAGAGAAAGGCAAACAAAACAAACGAACAAAACACGCATATCACATGCGGTACTGTGAGGTTTGGGGACTCTAAGCCTGTCTACCACAAGGGAAAAACGAACAGAAAAACAAAGGCTATTTCGACAGCTATTTGAAATTGCCGAAAAATATTTGAGTAGCCAGGCAATTTACTAAATGTCAACCAATTAGCTATAAAGGAATCCAATAGAGACTGACACCAACGTTTCACTTGATTGGCAATAATATGCTGGTACTGGTACTGGTGTCGGACAATATTGACATTCCTGCTTTCATTTCTAATTAAAAGTAGAAAACCTCCCGTCGCTTCGCTGCATTGTACCATGCAGTGTTCAAAGATCCAGCGAGTAGACTTGGCTCCGGGCGTTACAGTATGACAAGAACATGCTGGTGGGAGAAACGGAGGGGAAAGTGAAGCACCAACTCAGTCGTTCAAGGCTGTAACTTCATGGCATTGAGTGCGCAACTTCATGGCATTGAGTGCGCAATTTATCGAAAATATGTACAATGATATGAGCATTTGCTTTAATAACGCGATAATCCCATGCCATATTCTAATGAATATTACACATGAAACAATGAGGCCACGTTGAGCCATGTACCCATTTTCACTTTATGTAAGAGTGACATCAACAGTCTTATTTTTCTTAAATTTACAAAACATTTTCTCGTTTAAAATAAAGCTTTCCAAATTTCACATATCACCGCCGACTAAGTATTTCCACAGACTGTATTCGGATTTGTTTGTCCGAAAGGAAGGAAAACAAACAGACAAACAAACAAGCACGACCAGTTGTCCGTAAATTCAACTGTCCCAGTTACCGTAACTTTCCATAATGCTTATACCTTTTACTGGCAGGTCATGAACTGCAATGTTCAGACTGGATCCGAAGTCTAGCTGCGAAGTGGTGGTAGTCTTGTATCTATTGGATTGGTACTGGTATACCTAACGCTATTTGGAGAACATCATCATATCACTATTTAACTTACCAGTGAAGCGGACTGAGGCAAAAACTGTGTCCTTTTTTCCCGGCGGGATGGTGGTAAAATTGGCCATTTTTTTCTTGCTTTTGAGTTTCTTGGCGAGGCTGAATTGCGAACCGGTACGATATGATGGGTGAGTACTTTGCTTGATCTGAAATTTAGATAAGCCGTATAAGTTGGAAATGCAAACCAAACATATGTTTAAGAAGCATTCTATTTGAACACAACACCCTGTACTTCAGTCACTGCTGACATTCGGAGTGGAGGTTTATTGAGCGTTTCCTTTCTCTTTGATTATCTTTTAAGATTTAAATCGATCTTTTTCATTCTGTTTGGTATATTTGTCTGTAAGTTGAAAATCTGCATTGTGTTAAATTTGACAGAACGAGTCACTCTAACGATCTGTAGGATTCAATATGTGATATATTTCTGACTTGATTTGTTACAACTGTCAGTACACAGAAGATACTATAGCAACGGGCAATATGAAGAAATATATAGCGGATTTGATCTGCGAATAAATTCCAAAATTCGTACATAAACGATATACGTTGGTCGTCGGCATTTCCGATGGAGCAAAAAATGTAGTGCACCACGGATTTCCATTTTACACAACACGAGGTTGACGAACAAGTTACAAGTCGGCAAATTGACTCTGACACACCCTCCTTTCAAAGAAAATGCCTTTGCTACGCCACTGCTGCGGACGACTATAAAGGTCATTTATTCAGTATCTCGAAAAAAAAAAGGACACAGAGAGTCAGAATCTCTGTCTGTATCATTTTTGGATATATGATTTTCACTTTAATGATGTCATGGATTGGAAGTTCTACAAACTAGTGAAAGTGTTGTAAAAGAGAAGGATTCACAAAGATCTTATTTAATAGCACGCCGCCCCATTTTTTTTTCAAATACAGTCCAGTATGTCGTGCTCACGAATAAACTATAAAGCGAACAAAAATTAAATGCTGTTGGAAGACATTTTCGTTCAGATATGACTTCGTGCAATAAAATTCAATTCCTGAAATTGTTAACGCTTTCATTCAAATCGTCAATATTATTTTGTTTTGTTTTGTGGTTTTTTTTTAAAGACAGAAGCCGTACAAGATGAAGAAAATTATTCAGTACCCCCTTCTCTTTGTAAAATATAAAGCAAAAAATTCACATCAAAGCGGCAGGCCTAAAATGCACATCAAATAAACAACAAGAAATTTCTATTTCGGTTTCTGGTAGTTAACAAGATAAGTAGAAACAAAAGGAAAAATACAAAATAGGAAATATTTCCTGGATTCATCATCGATACCATAAAAAATATCCTATTTTACGCAACACAGCAAAAGGGTCTTGTTTCCTTGCCCTTTTTGGATTTCTACCAATGTGGGTCTGTTACATCGGCTTCTGCTATACTCCAATGACCTCTAGTCTTCATGGTTCATGCATTTCTAAATGCAAAAGAAAATTGAAGGATGATGATAATAATATTTAGAGCAAATCCCTCCCGGTCTAATGTCGCACCTCGTACCCAGCGTGCTCCAACTCAGTCTTCTGTCGCTCCACTCCTTCACTGTACTAACCTTCTGTCCTGCTTTCCAGTATTTTTTTATCATACACACCGTGAAGATTAAGAAGAAACTAAACAGTCTTCGTGCTAAACATCATTATTTACTGGATATCATCGAGTCTACATGAAATACAATAAATTTCCTCAGATGAAGTAATTTTGCACCGCATGTCGCATTATTTGTGTCATTTTGGATCCATTAATTACTTTGACAAACATAAATACAAGTGCTGGGGGTGGTGTTTTATCATTGTATGGCATTCTACTTTTAAGAACATGCATCATATTCAAAAGGCTCCAAGGAAGTTGTTTTCATATAATTATTTTCTACCAGCAAACCACTATAAAGAATTAAAAGAACCAAAAAAAATATTTAGAATTTCTCCCCTTTGTCAAATTTTTTATTGCCTTGTTCACATGCTCTTAGATGGCATATAACTTAGCCAAATTTGATTTTAAAAAACTAATAAAAAATAAAACATACTCAAAACCTCCAAAATAGGGCTGATTTTAAAGGGTTAACGGATATAGATGCAAATACAAACCTTCCATGCACCCTTGCGATTTTATTTCACTATTTAAAAGAGTGTTTTACTGCTTGATTTCATAGTTGGTATGCTTATAATTATTTCCATATTTATGAGCAAAACTGTGATGTCACTCCAGGAAGAAAATCTCAGTGCTCGTTGGTTTCTACACAAGTCTTGCATTTTTGTTAATTTGGTTGGACTGGATTTTCTCTTTTTCACCTTTTTATTGGTTTTTTTGTGTGGACAGCAATAAGCAAACGTCAATCCCTTTTCGGTAATGTTTTCAGACAGGATATTATGGGTTTATAATTTGAACAGAAAAATATATGCACTGAACTATGTCTTCCCTGGATGACATCGCGGCAACAGCGCCCTCAGTTGTTTTGGAAAGCATGGAATATTTTAAATGCTGAAGTGAATTTTTCTATTTATTTAACCAAAAGGAACGACTTTTTAGACATTGAAAAAGATAACAAAGTCGCAGGAAAAAATTGTGTCTGAGAAAACTTTATTGCAGCTGCACTTTAAAAGTCAGTTTGCTGCTGACGAGCACTTTGGACCCTCCCTCCACCCACACACCCTGATGACCCCCCAAGGGCACAAACAAAAAATTAAACCAATAAATGGAATGATGAAACACTCCATAAAAAACATGCGTCAAACACAAGAAAACAAGCCACTGAACGCTAGTAGGAAACAGGCATCCGTGTAGATCTGTTTCGTAATATTGTTGTTTCCACCTCTCCGTTTCTTTTTCCTCCCACCATCGTTTTTTTTCCCTGCCTCGTTAGCTACAAGCTCCTCAGGGTTCAGACACGCCACAAAAGGGACCTGGAGGCCGTGAAAAGGATCTACGAGACAGCAGACGAAAGAGTGCGTACTATTTAAACTTTTAACTGATAACAAACTCGTATTCTTCGGTATCCTATAAACCATACGTTATTATCATGGTGGGACCATACTCCAATGAAGCCCACGACATGCAGTTTACTTCTAAAACACCGATAGGGTCCATAATTACCTAGAAACGGAAATATATTTATCATACAAATATTAGCTAGAACAAAACTGTTTTTGCACCCGCCGCGGGCCCCATCAACACGACAGCGAACACAGAGCTCCACACGTGCTAGCTGTGTAGGCGGGGGCCTGGCATTCGTAGGAAGGTAAAATTTGACAAATGGATTGGAGTAATGTTTTAAAAACTGTGACTTCTGTTTTAAATGATGTATTTAGTTGGATTTTTGGCGGGAGCCGCGGTCTGTAGATGGGGACGTTGATATCATGGTCTCCGCTGAGCACGAAGATTCCCTCCGTAATCTTCTCGGTGATAGCGGGATGAAAGCTGAGACGATCATAGACGACATTCAAGCCGCCGTTGATGAGCAGACCGAAGTCAACTTGGAGGAGGAGAAAACATTCTTTGAAAGTTTTCAAAATCTCTCCATGGTAAGTTGTGTATAGTGGTTGCTTACACAGAAAAGGCAAAGTAGTTAGAAATGCCTCATTTCGTTTGTAGTACCACGATCTGATCTGTCTCAGTTTCTGACATTTCGAGAAACAAGACGAGTTTGAAGTTGGGTCCGTTTTGAATCTTTCATTTCTGCCACAACTAACTTTTATTGACATAGATTTCGTATTTTAATGAAGTTAGATAGTTAAATTACTATATGAGATATTTTGTGGGGAAAAAATCTTACGTACGAGGTTAAAATGAGGCACCCAAACCATATGTCACTTTGTTAAATTTTTATTGTCTTATTTTATTGAGCGCAAATCGCGACCTATACAGATGGGTCACTTCGTGGAACGAAACATTTCGATTTCTCTGTTGCTGACGATGACCTACGCGGTATGTCGTGTGTGCATACGCACGGACTTTTTCACGCTAAACTGTATGGAGGTTCGTTTAAAATCCTTCACTGAGTTTTGTTTATATTTTTCGATTACAAAGGTCTTACAGAGTAAAACTTTGCGAAAGCTGAAGGAAGTTAGAAGGGGGACCCCCTTCGAGAAAGTCATGAACTCTTATTTTCTATTTTTGTTATTTTTCAAAGTGTACCTTCTCGTTATACAAACTTATTTTTCCATGCATACCAAGGGTCAATTTTTTAAAGATACTTTGAATGCCTCCATTAAAAAGAGTTACACTAATATAAGGCCTAGCAATGACACACATTTTAAAAGAAATCTACTGCTTTTATCACTATGTAATTTGTTGTATTATACCGTGTAGGTCTACATTTATTATACAATGTAGATTTTATTGTTGAGTGTAGCCAATCAGAAAAAGGCCCTATTTAAGGGAAACTCAAGGGGCGGAAAAGTAAGTCTAACAAAAGACTTTTTAAAAAGATAAGTAAGACGTCTGTCTTAGTATTTGACTTGGACTGACCATTATCAGTTATGTCTTCAGTTGAATTTCAAGCCATGCATATATAGGTAAAATAATGTTTCTCAATCATTTCAAAGGACATCGGTGACTTTTAAATGACGTTAGTGAAGAATATAGACTAAACATGAATACAGTAACAGCTGGAGAACAGCTCTTGAGTCATTGATGCGGAGTGCCAGCACTGCGATGCATAAAATAATCTCAGGGGAAATGCACGCAAACAGTAGTAGTGCTTCGGGTAAAAAAATAAAACGTCAGACTTTAAATACTTTTACGCCTAGCTTAGGATTTCGTGTCATCGCACACACGAATGCCCATTACGATTTTATTCAAATATCAGCATAAAAAAAGGAGTAGACCTGCCCTTATGTTCAGTCATTTTCAGAAACAGAACGAATGACACGAAACAGCGCTAAAGACTGGTTCCGAATGACTAAAGTTCAAATGACACCGATAGGTATCGCGGTCCAGATACCAGACTTTGTCACCTCGTGGAAATAAAACAGCGTTGTGTTCACGTTTCACGAAGTGACCTATCTCAATGCTTCAGTCATTGAAAAACAATAATTTTAAATTTTGGAGAGGTAGGTCATTATTTTTAATTACCAAATTTAATTTAATTAGCTTTTCAGAGCATCTAGGCCCTATAAGATCAGAAAAAAAGATTTCATCATGAATAAAAAAAATGCTAAAAACCTAAATTCGTCAAAAATTGAGATAGGTCAGGTCGTCGTACGATCGACGATTTAATACGAGAAAACCATTATCAATGTTGTTATAACCCTCACAATTGTACATTTTAAATGACGTGACTCCCAAGTCTTCCTTTCAATATTCAAAATCTTGCTTAAAACCTATTAGATAATTATGTTTAACCCAAAGTAAACCAAGTTTTAAATCATTCGTCAAAGTAGACAGGTAGTAATTAACATCGTGATATTTAATTTTATTGCTTTTTATTTCTCCCGAAATGAAGACTTAATCTTGCTCTCAACATAACACAAATTATCACAGACTCATGAATGAAGTCCGTTGTCTGAATCAGTATTTGAAACGATCTTTTGTTTTCAAACTCAGCGTACAGTAATTTTGTTCTGTACACTCGTCACGTTTCTTGGTTTTAAAGTAACGCATTTTGAAAGTTTAAATCACCAAAACTTCCAGACGTTTCATTGCCTTGAAACATTAATTGTCGTTTCATTTTTGGCATATTAGATCAATGAATGGATGTTCACACTGGCTGCTGATTATCCTGACATCGTCACAGTTTATCAGATAGCCACATCATACGAAGGACGCCCCATATACTGCCTTAAGGTAAAGCACCAAAGTCCCCGATCAAGGGTAACTAATTTTGTCAGTAAAACAACTCCTTTTAGGAAGAGAACAAATTCTCCAAATGTGGGTCGAACCAACAAAGAATTGCGATAAGTTCTTAAAACATTATGAAACGCCTTTTCAGCAAAGTTTACACGGCGTCGCCATCAGCCGAAGCAGGTACGTTCTGTGACACGTGCATTTCCAAACACCACTTCCCCACCACCTTAATGTTACTGGAACGAACAACCTCCCTACCCCCAAGGGAACTTTTGGCGCTAAAACAAGGGCGGGCTGCATGCATGCTCTCGCATTTTCCCATAAGCTATTCCAATCTGTAAAGAGCAAGTGGTACCGCTGATGTCACTGATAACACGTTTTTCTTGGCCATCTGTGCGTAAAAATGTACACGCAAGTACATGTAGTTTCCTTTAGGCGGACTTATTTGAATTCCGTCTGTCTGTATTGTGATCCATCTTCTGCTCAAAAAATTTATATGAAAGAGGTTGCGTGCAGAATATCCCATGATACATGCTGAAGTTAATGACAAAAAAAGGTGCGTCCCCAACAATGCAAAGACCACGTCATGCTAGCACGGAGTAATCCCAATCGGAATATTGACTTGGAGCGGACTGGAAGACCGCTGCGACGGAAGTGGTGAGGAAACCCCGTGTGGCTGCCTCCTTCTTGTACCGTGACGTAGCCAGGATGATGCGACGCATCATTGGCCAGCTTATTAGAACCACCATGCGTGTTAAAACAGGCATATAAAATTGTGTGTTTTCAAAACTACAGTGAGAACAGCATGATATATTTGCATTACATTTCGCAAATTCGCACGATCTCATTTTGTATCAGAAAGTGATTGACATATTTCGCAACTTGAAGAGCATCAGGCTTTTTTAAAACTAATGTTGGTTTAATTTAGTTAAACAAACAGCGAGATTCAGTGGCGAATCCAGCAGGGGTGGGTGAGGACAGAGGCATGTTTTCCATAGAGACATATTACCATAATTTTTGTAAGAATTGAAAGCGCCAACACTTTACAAATGGTGCCTACATCTTGAAGGGGGTGAGAATTCTTTTACACACAACAAAAATTGACAGCCACTTTTTGTATCTATCTTTGCGCTCCCTAATTCCGCCTCCAGACGCAAATGAATGTGGCGAATAATACTTGACTTTTAACAGCTGAAGTGCACCCTCACCGGCGAAAGAAAGACAGATGGTACTCAGTTTTCCAACGGGGTTCTTACACGCGTTCGGCGTGCACGCGAAGACTATACATTCGAGACAAAATTCGTTGCGCGTACTCAGCGTGCTCTGCGTAAACGCGCATAAACATGCGCGCCTATGCGATGAATGCAAAGGGCTGTCAATTTCACTTTAAAACACGCCCTCTTTTGTTCCTGTTCGGAGCGGTACATACAATGGTTGTGTACCTTTCAACATTTCATTAAGGAAAGAGGCACGGACTTCCACTGGATATTGGAGAAGGGCCACTGTATTGTACCTATTTCACTGCCAGCAATGTAGGCTGTTTGTTTCACACGGATCTACATCACGATCAATGATCCGTCGTTGGTTTAAAGACACCAAAACTCGCCTAATGGATGGTGAGAACAAGTGTAAGGATCACTAATCTAGATCACACGGATCTAGATCACGATCAGTGATCCGTCGATGGTTTACAGACACCAAAACTCGCCTAATGGACGGTGCCAACCGGCGTAAGAATCACTGTTCGCGATCCGGAACCGTGTGAAACATGCAGGCCCGTAAAGTCTGTTATCTGTGACTATGTCCCTAAAACTTAAGCAGCACCAGGATATCCCTACAAATAGGTTATAACTATCACACTGCATGGAGGTAAAACAGATTACCATGATGTCAATGTATCTCTCGTGGAAAGTGTGTTTTAACTTTATTTTGTTCTTTTTCGGTCACAATCATGTCAGTTGTCTCATTCCGAGAGAGCTCCTGATGCCAAAACACCGGCTCTCTTCATCATGGGAGGCATTCATTCCAGAGAATGGTTGTCACCTGCTACCGTCATGTTCATAGTCAATGAGGTAACCGCATTGTAAAAAAAAATCTGCTGTTACCACCACTGTCATTATTAGACATTGGCCGATGTGTTAACCCATGTATAGATAGACAACAAAATACAAGGCAAAGATGTAAGTCAATACCCAAACAGTTGGTTTGATAGACAGACTGCACTGACGTGATGCCGTTGTCTCCAAACCGCGCGTCCACACGGGCCCCGCTGTCTACGGCAGAGGCACTCATTGCACCGGCCAATGGCAAAAACCTAGCGCCGCAAAATCAGTGTACAACTCCCAGACCGTCTTGCATTATTGAAGACGGTCAGCAAAGGCTCCTGTAATCCTGTAGCTTTGAACAAATTGGAAGGTGCAGCCAATACCTGTAGGGACCTGGGAAAAAGTACGAACAAACGTTCGGAATGCTTCCCTCTCCGACTTTTTTGGGGGCCATATTATTTCAAAACTCTTTTGGTACTTGTATACACAGATGGTGGAAAAGTACGAGGTCGATGTGGAGCTCGAGAAATTACTAGGAGGACTGGATTGGTACATTCTGCCGGTGTTTAACGTGGATGGATACGTCTTCACTTGGGAGAAAGTGAGGACTGAACAGCTCTCTGTCCATTCCTTTTGGCGAGACTCAATATTAAATTTTTCTTAGTTTCTTAGGTCATGTAACCACCGCGACCGAAAATTACGCGCTAGTTGACCCTAGCGTTTAAAGTTGCAGTGCGAGTGCCCAACTGTCAACCAATATTGTGCAAAAGAGCGAATATGTATACAATTTTTAAAAATCCATGAAAGTACAGATAATGACTGAAAAATTTTTTAAAATGGGATCGGAAAAGCTCGATACATTCGGAAAATTTTGGAACTATCATAGAAGGAATTCCCCTCGTTTTGTCACGTGACCGTGAAGGCTACCGCTTCTTAAGATTCTCCTCGAATTGTCGGAAACTTTCGGGCTGAGAACCAGACTACGGTACGATTTGACTACCCTCTTGTCCAGGTGCAACAGGTGCAAGCTAATCTGATTAACAGGACAAAAATTCCATGGCAATTATTCCAGTGATTTGGGGAAGCTTCAGCCGATGCTATAATGTCCAAGAGCCAACGGTGTCCAACAGCTCCGACAACTCTCATGTGACCTTCTGCATTTCTCGCATTATTATAAAAAAAATCGCTCCCTCCCTTTTATAATTATATTTTTCTGACTTTGTAAAGCTATACGTAACTTCGATTAAAAATACACTCTTTCAGAATAGTAAAAGATTCTTATTCATATGTCTTAAACTGTGATATCAAACTCTTGTCTCTGTGCAGCATCGATTATGGCGGAAGACTCGTTCATATTACGCAGAGAACCGATGCAAAGGAGCCGATCCCAACAGAAACTGGGACTACAAGTGGGGAGGTGAGTCAAGCACATCGACAAAGTGACATACAGTATGGGATAACTTGTTGTAATTAAACACAGGCATGCACCGACGTGTAATGAGCCAGTCTGGTATTTCGAAAAAAAAAGCCCAAGTCTTTCGGGAACTAAGCAGCGTTCGTCACCATAGCTGCGCTGTGAACGCGCCATTGATTGTAGACTCCCCTTGGACGAACACTAAAGTTGCGCGTTACCTTCCGGTTCCATGGTTACAATGGGCATTTACGAAACGAGTGGTCAGGATTAGTCTTCGCTAGCTCCAGCCACTTGAGGAGACTCCGACCATACAGACTGGAACCAGTGAAGCCAAAGACTCCGCCGAAGCCATCCGTTTCGCAAACGCCCAATTACTCTATGTGCAGTGGGCGTGGTTTAAACTGAAGTGACGTCTCACGAACCGGATATCCTCGTGCTGCGCATGCGCTCATAGAATAACACCATTCACAGATGGGGGGGGCAACTTGTCAGTGAAATAGCACAGAAATACGGCACCGACACGATATACTTGGTACACGCATGACAGGTTATTCAAGGGATCCTACATTAGAGGTCACACTTCCAGAGTTCTGTTCCAGAAAAATAACGCACGACAGTCTGTTTCAGTACATCTGGATGTACTACATACAAATAGTGCGATGCTTTATTTCTGCCAACTGAACATTTTTCGTCACCAACCTATATCTCGCTAGTTCTTCAACGAAACCGTGGCATGATATAGTGGTGTTTGTTCATTTCAGACGCACATTTCGCTTTTCACTGTCCGCAAACTTTAACACTAGACATAGATATAGTCTCTCCTGCCCGATAAACAGACGAAAAGCAGGGATATTTCGTCAGCATTTTTATGACAATCAAATACTGCTGCAAGAAACAAACGGGCCAGAAAGAAACTGGGACGATAAAGAGGGAGTGCATACGGCCCACAAACAGTAAAAGGGAAAATTTCCCTCTCTCTTTGGGGAAAAATGTCCACTGACGACACTTCCTTGGCTATGTACAAAGTTCATGAAGAATGTAAGTATCTCTAAGCATAATTTGACATGTTTCTCAGGCTCATTCATGAACTTTTTTTTTTACAATTACTGTCCGTCATTGAGATGATACAGGAAAAGAAGAGGTGGCGTCAGATATCTTTTCATATGCCTATCTCTTCTTTTTTTTAGAGAGCGGCGTGAGCTTCATGAGTTGTGACGACATCTACGCAGGCCCCTTCGCTTTCTCCGAGACAGAAGTCAAACAGGTAGCTGACTACTTGACAGAGCTCAATGCCAAGCAATCGATTCACGGCTTCATCGACTTCCATGCCTACGGCCAGCTGTGGATGACGCCGTACGGATACGGCAACGTCCTGCCCGAGAACTACCAAGACCAGGTAAAATTATAGTGGTTCGAGCAACTGACAGTGCGGACATCTCGTGACCAGTGACTATATTGTCGATAGCTCCATTGTCCGATTTCATATAAAAGAGGCTGTGACAAACAGTGTGACAAGAACAGGAACACAGGAAATCGTATAGGAAGTTCAGTTCATTTTCTTCTATGTTAAGAATGCATCATCGCTAAAAGAATTATTGCCGTGTTCCCAATATCTAAGGCCTTACTCAAGCCGCCAAAAGTCAAAAGTGTGTCTTCATTGAACAAGTCATGTAAAGTAGCACTTGGAAAATCCTTGTCAAAAACTACAGTGTAAATCAAGGCTCCCTGGTACTTAAATGCAAGACACATGACAAAACCACCAATGGGCCTGATATACTGTAAAAATTAGTCAAAAACTGTCGCCTGGACTGTCAAGCGTTTCTCTGCGGTTCATTCTAAGTTCCTTTCTTTACGTGGTTCACAGTACGACCTTGCAGTACATGCAACTGATGCCTTAAGGGACGTCAACGGATCAAACTACACCGTCGGCAGCATAGCAAACGTCATATGTAAGCTAGTAAATTCCAACGATATCTACAAATAGTTTTGTATTTTTTACTTAAATTCTTATTTAATCTCTAATATTGAGAAATGTTTTATAATCGGTGAATAATGTTATTTCTTGTTTACCCCTGTTTTTATACAGTGGATTTAGGCGTGAATATAGGGCTTTAGACTTCGTTTATTAGTAGTAAATTTTGATGCGACGTGACCTTTCAGGGCATGCAAAAAGCACAAATATACAGAGAGTACTGAGAGCACACATGAGAACTGACTAAGGCTTGGAAACTAGTTCAAGGAACAATGGGAGCAAGAGCATGAAGTTTGCGCCAATCGGTGCGTTCGATTAGCTACCCTGAATACACCAGTGTTACACGCAAGCGAAGCCTCGAAATGAGGCTAATCATTGCGCTGCAGCGTATTCGCCAAGGCATTCTGGGGAAAAGGTCAAGTCCCCGCCACGTTCCATCATGTCGATGCTCGAAAAGTCCATCCGTGACGTCATTACACTTGGGCAGCCTCCAGAGACCTGCTCGCCAGCCGGGGTAGTGGTGGCCGACACCAGGGCATTCACGAACATCACGTGATGGCCAAACAAAGTTAGTTTGACTTACTCGTGTAAGCTAATCGAACGCACGCAATACGAGCAATTCACAAATAGTGCGCCTCCCAGATTGTGCAACGCGATGACCAATCACAAGGCGCGAAATCTGTCGACCCTTTCCAAACGTGCATTGGGTCGACAGATTTCGCGCAGTGTGATTGGTCAACACGTTGCAAACTCTTGGAGGCGCACCAGTGTGAAAGCCCGTATTTCTTCAGTAAGGTCTGACGTTTATCCTCAACACCGCTAGAGCACATTGATCCAAACCTCAAATTAATACCATTCTGAGGACCACACATTAGCCCCTTTCGACGTGGGCTGTATGGTTTACATGTATGTTTGCACCATCTCATACAAACACATAGGCGCCATTTCTGAATCGGAATCCTTGCCTCTCCTTCAGACCAAGCCTCAGGAAACAGCGTAGACTGGGCCCGAGGAAAGCTCCGCATTCCATACGCCTACGCCGTCGAGTTACCAGACGTAGGCCGGTACGGTTTTCTGATGCCTCCCCGTTACATCATCCCGACTGGAGAGGAGACCCTGGAAGCGGTCAAGGTCATGGGTCACGGGGTTATGGCGTATAAGGGGTCTGCATCTGAGTTAATGCCGAGTTTAACGACGGCTTGATTTGCGTACGTGTGCATGATAGTGCTTCGCGAAGTGATCATTGTGTGATGTCATCTGGCAGGGGGCCATATACTGCTGCTTTAATTTTTGTAACCAAATCAATTAGTATACAAATTACAAATTATTCCGAAATGAAAATTTCAAACTCAAAAGTACTTTAGCATTATGTTTTATGTTTTATCTTAGAAGTCAATATTTTCTTCAACATAACAGAGATTATTTTTAAAAGGCGTACATGTATGCCTATATAATAAGCAGTTTTAAGAGTTATCTTTAACAACTCCTCTAAAATCTTGCTTAGAGAAGAACATATTAAAAAAAACGATTTGAATACGAAATACCATCCACCATCAGTGAGGATCAACAGAAGTAAAGGCTTAAGTAACTGAAACTGAATCCGATTTGATTGAATGTACACCAAAAAACGTAAAGTGGGCACTGGACGTTCATTGGGGCATGGAATCATTATTGTAGAAACACACTACACTTTTTAAATGTTGGGCATTTTCCCAAAGATTTACCCAACAGTTGGACATGTGCACCTTGTGATCAGAAGTTAGGAAGTTTCCCAATTTAGGGAAAAGGTTGGTCAAAATATTTCCAATGATTTGTACAGAGTGAGACAAGCCCCCAAATCAAACTTCTGGCCTTCCAGATTACGTCACACATTCACTTCTGAATGAGATGGCTGGTTTCAGTCCCCCTAACGCCGTCAGCGTCGGAGGACTGGAACAAGTATGTTGCGAAGCACTGCTCACGCGTGGCAGCAAATAACGCAGCCGAAAACGAATTCCACGAAGTAGTAGTTTTGTGAACGACTGATTATACTTGGGCCGTTTTCCAATACTCAACTTCGCTTCCGTCTCAGGCTTCAACTGGTTTTAACTAGCTGACGTTGAAGCTGTAAGCGCAGTAATTAGTTCAATAGTGCCACAAAACATCAAAAAAGATGCAAGAGAGCCAGAAATTACAGTAATCCAATTTAATTTAAACGCTTCAGGCCCACAATCGGGGATTGGTTTTGGGAACGAAGCCTGAGACGGAGCCCAAGTCGAGTATTGGAAAAGGGCCTTGGTGATAGCTTGAGACCAATGACAAACGAAGAGTGTAGAGCATTGGTTTGAGGCCATAAAAAGATGATTGCTTTGGTCGACCACAAAAATACCACTTTCTTTCTTCCGAAAGTTAGCAAGTTACAATACCTGTATACTCTAAAAAATTGATCATTATTGTTTCGTCTGTGCCGCATTGCATTAAGCCCTTCATCAAGAAAACATGTGTTATCATTACAGTGTAAATATAACAACAAATCAAAGCTATGACTTATACTGCATCGAAGAAACGACATGCACAGTACGTCAAAGCCGTGCAATTTTTTTTATTACTGATACTAGCGTTGCAGGGGCAGGGATCGGACAGTGTGATGCACTAATGATGTGCAAGGCGGCAAACAATTCTGAGTCAAAACCATAGTTCGACTGCCGGTTAATTACTTCTTACCAATACGCGCGCGAAATGCAATCCCACTCGAACCTGCGGGTCACGCGCAATACTGTTATACCGGAACGTCCTCAGTCGGACTATTTTGTAACATCTCATCGTTACTCGCAGTTTGCCATTAGCTGCAACTCGCGCGTCGTTCGTGTTCAATAACAGCTTTTACAATTATTTTGTGTGAATGGAATGGTTCCCTCCGTACCGATAAATGAAATCAGCCAATTGACAACCAGCGAGTGGACTATGCCACGAGGTCTGGTTCCAATGGTCAACTACATAGTCCAAACCATAAATCGTTCGGGTGGTGTTGCAGTGTGGTACAACTATGATTAACTCGAGTCGTCACTCGAACTTGCCCAAAGTCGAACTATTTCACTTCCTGCCCTTCCAGAGCTTAAAAAAACCAAATTTAGTTGCGTCCTTCAGCAAGGCCATAAAAGGTTGCTTAAAGAAATTTTCAAAGTGTTGGTACTCCCCACATCCTCAACAAGAAAGTTTTGGACCCACCCTTGGTTACGGACAAACACTACATGCGCCAAAATGCTGGTTCATATTTGGCGCAAAAGTGAATACGAAATTGTGACGTCAGATCAATTATTCGTACTGCGAATTCGCACACTCAACTCCACCGATTTCGCCGAAAACACTTCGTTCCACTACATCTGTGGCGTTCGACTACGGATAAACTGACCTATCGGCACAAAAGAGGGCAGCAGTCATTTGTCAACAGACATGCGTGTGTATTCATAAAGCGATACTTTTAACATGAGCTAGATTATAAAATTACCTTGTCCAAGTGTTATTCAAGCTCCAAGCTCCCGCCCAGGGTCTCCCTTGTCTCATCCTCATCGGCAGAAGGTATTAGAAGTGCTATTGTGCTAACCTGTAACGAGGTTGAATGAATTTCCTTTAAGTAGAACTTGAACGAGATAGAAATGCATGTGATACTTAATATGTCAACGCCAATCAAATTAATTTGACTTTGCCGTTTCAATTTTTCAGCAATCGAATTTTTCTACAGGTCCACTTCGTGTATTATGGAAGGTATCCGGCTGAGTGTTGGTCTGGGAGGCGATACAAAAGTATTGCATGTATGAATATACATGTACATTGTACTGCTCTATGTTGTCTGTAATAAACGAGTATAAATGTACGCATAATTACTTTGTGTGTGAGTGTTTTGCTTGCGCAATTTCAGTTATTTCAAAGAGCGGTTCCGTTCAGTTGGGCACCCGATATCTCTGTTTTAATAAGCCTTTCCGACGTTCGGTTTGTATTGTGAGTTTGGATGACAAATAAGCAGTATGTTTTATGCACAACTCTGTATGGAAGAAGTTGAGCTGCAAAGCCTTAAATCTGTTTTCCATTTTGTCAGATAGTATTCCATTTCAAGCCATGCTCATTTCACGGTTTCGCATTGTAGATTTGGGATAAAGATACATGTATTTACAAACCTCAAATTGGAAAGTGTATCAGATAAAGCAAAAAGGGGAAATTCCTTCCAAGAACACTAGTGTTACGTTTGTCTTGGACTAAGATCATTAATGACCTAGTACTGGCCAATCAGAGTCGGGATTTGAAACACATTCACTTTGGGATGAACGTTCGTTCTTGGCGCTAAATCGTAGTGTGAGAATGCGTACACGCCCAGCTCCTATCGATAAGACACTAATACAGGAATCTTTGTCCACACAGTAATCACTTGTGCACGCGTAATACGGCTATGCATGGTGGATAGCAGAACAAGATTTTCGTGACACAAATAATAGCTTCAAGTTCACGACCGGTCGACCATGAACTGCAAAAATTCTCTACCCCCCCCATGACGTACATGTACACGTTCGACGTGAAGTAAAGTTTGTCCACTTGAGGGCGCCCTTCGAATAGTACTGCGCATCTTGTTTACTTCCGGTTTAGCTTTGTATCATCAAGCGGCACAAGAACCTGGCATGTCCGGTAACGGGTTGTTTGCTGCAGTCGGGAATTTAAGGGCAGTGCAATGGGTGCTAAGGAATCACATCAAAGACACCAAGAAGGGCATTCCTCCAAGGCATCACGTGAAATCAACAGTCAACTGGAACACTTCTTTTCGGTAAGTAGGGGTTGGCTTCTGATCGTAACTGATCCGCCGATGATCGGCAAGATCATAGATAGAGCAAAGAAGGGCATGATCAATACAGGGACTATTGTGCTGTTAGTGTTACATACATGTAATGTAGATGTACAACAGGTCTTCCCACTTGCCAAACCGAAATAGTTCCCATGTACAAATATCACTTATTTTCCCGTGCAGCTGTTTAGTTTGCCACTAGAAATGTTCTAAAAAGTCAAATTTAGGAATGATAATTGATACTTAATTCATTCACTCAGAAAATACTTTTTTCAGATCAGTCTCATAGGGTTTGTGTACAGGGTCAAGTGATGTCCAAATATGTAACTTTTCCTGCCAAACTCCTCAAAAAATAATGTCCGCTTGGTGGTTTATCAGTAACAGTAATGAATCTTATCATGTAGTAACGAGTCCAGCATTTGGGTGATTTTGGGCTTTCTTATGTTGCTATGTGTTAAATTTACCGATTTCAATTTTTGATTACCAGAGCAAAAATGCACCACAGATCCACAAAAATGAACACCAAAATAAAGAAGTAACCTTGTTCTTTTCAATGATATACTTTTCAAGGAGTGTTGTGTGCGTGCAATTTCAAATCACAATTGTCAGTTGAATTTTTCCATGGAGCAATCCCGATCATGGGCGCCTCCATTTTGATTTCCTCTGTGTGATGTCATGTTCTCATTTTTCCTCATTTTGTATGGAAGAGTTTGTTAAAAAATTCTTTTGAGAGTTGGAGAGAGAATGAAACAAGCTTTTGGATGGTACAAAACTTGGGCATGTTTGGTTTATTTTGAAGGTTCATGTTGTAAAATGATTTTCTACAGAGAAGTTGGAAATCAAACAGTGATTTTTTCCCCATAACTTCAAACATTTTTCTGGAAATTCTACTTAAAGGAGGTTGAGGAGGCCAGAAAGAATGATTTTGGGGAACTTGGAACATTTCCCAATACATTTGTATAAAAATTGTGACACCTTTGTATGTTGCACTACCACTACAAAAGACTTTTATGAAATGTGTCATTTTGGAATGTGCCTTTAACCCTAACCCTACTCAATCCTTCACCTGTTGGAGGACTGAGGAGTGTTAGGGGTAAAATGTGTTTCAAGGTTGAGTGTACAGTGATGCAATCTGCAAAAACTCTTCACGTGGTGAGCTTTGTCATTTGGATGCATATAACTTTCAATTAATATGGACATGTTCTTGTTTTCAGATATATTATATTTATGATTCTAGGTTGTCTGCAACATGAATCAAGGTTGTCTAGAATTACGAATTAAACAGTTTTGAAAACAGGATAGTGTCCAGATCAATTTGAAATTGATTGCATCAAAATGACAAAGCTCACCACATGAAGAGTTTTTGCAGATCACATCACATATTTCCAATACACGTGGGACAGGCGTCTGAACTGAAAATGAGAGTGAGAATTTGTGTGAATATTTTTTGAATAAATACAGGCTACTGATGCCTTGGCTTTTATCAGTTGTAACAGGTCGTTAATTTTTGTAATAAATGTCGAAAAATACAAAGGATGCTTCAGTCAGAGTAATCCGGTTCCAAAATTTTAGAGGGTTTGCTGTTAAAAACAGGTATTTCAAAACTACATGTGTGCGATAATGATTCTGTCTTGAGTATTACTTGGCTGAGAAAGAATCTTCAAGAGTTGCCATCTATCTTTCATTTCCTTCCAGATCGTTGCAAATGGTGATAGAGTAAGCAGAGCCAATTTTGTTGTAAGTAAAACTGAGCACACTGCCTTGACACATACCAAACATTTAACACAGACAGTAATCCATTTTGCCACAGTCAATAACATTATACTGGTTTTTAAGATTATTCAAAGTTCATTCCCCCCTTGAGATCAGTGTGAAACATTTCAATATACAGTAGGTGAAAAAGATGGAGAATATGGAGAAATGGAGAATATGTGTGTAGAATTTATATGTTTATATACTAAAACCAAAATTAAAAAAGGTAAATACCTTTTTAAGTATTTTTATTTTTTCAGAATTATTTTCCTGAGGTTGGTCGACCACTTGCAGAGAGACTGTTCACCTGTATCAGTCCATCAGAACCTGAAAGTACAAAACAGAAGTGTGCTGAACTGTTATCACGGATCCTGTCTGTAGCTACGACATCAGCACAAAGCAGTGTGTATATTGCCACCTTCAGTGGTATCACTCTCAAACCTCAAGGTGAGTCAAGTATTATGTTCTGGACATACCTGAAGCCTGTCTTACATCCAATCCAACTTTCTGTTCAGGTGCCCACAGTTTGAGTGTTGATCAGTGTGGCACAGCATCCGGGGGAGGTGGCATTTAGCCCTCCCTCCTCCAATATCTCCCCCAAAGTGTTCCTTTTCACAAGCACACCTTTTGCAGTGTCATTAACTTATGCTGCATTGAACATTAGAAAATGCACTGCCATATGGTGATTGCCACCTGTTGTCCAATGGGCCTTAAGCTGGACCAAGAGATGGCACTATTTTCCTAGCAATGGAAGCTCCTTTGTTCGGAGCTGAATTTTGTTAGTTCACAACTGACTATTAAATGCATGTGTTGTGGTCACGTCGCTACCAGCAAAATAAACACTCCTGACCAACACGGATCTTTTCAACCGAGGAGGATACTGTTCACTTCTAGCAGTGCCACTAATCAACAGAGGGTTTTGCTTGCGTCAAGTGCATGGCACTTCACCCTGGGTTGTCTGGCAGATATCATGGGCATTGATAAGTGAAGGACGAGGGAAACAGCTTCCCTACCCACCAACTTATCAAGCGCTTGATTGTACCGTAGAGGCCCTCAGTACTGCCGGCCTTTTCCAACCCACTTCTCCTTGCCACCTTTTGTCCAAGGCAGATAGGAGAGCTTAACTCAGTACAACATTGAAGGCATCTTACTCCAAATACTAGGATATTTTGAGGGTCTTCAGGTCTGAAACCCTGCAGTCAACATCTGAGGGTCTTTTGAAGCAGGCTTTACAACAAGGGGGAGGTACTCAAAAGGTGGCCCTGAATATGAAGCAGGCATGTATTTAGGGAATTTCAATTTTACATGTAAAGTTCTTCAATAACCAGTGAATGGCTTAAGTACACAAAAGAGAAACTGTATCCCCTAAAAAAGTAAATAAAAATAAAGGTGCATGCATCAGATGGGACCCCTCTGGATATGCTACTGTTGATGAAATGTAGAATTTAGGGTAAGGTGGACTATAAATACATGTATCTGAAATATGTGTGTGTACCTGATAATTTCAGAAGTAACAAACCTTCTTGAGTCGGCACTTAAGTTCTCCTTGCTCAGCGCTGGAATTCCAGAGCAGCGCAGCGATGCCGACAACCATGCCATTGGGGCATTGGCCAGCGAGCTGACTTCCAAAAGCATGATCACATCGGCTGTTGAGTGGATGGATGTCAACTGTCCGGAGCTGTTCACCGAGATGCACCGGACCCTGGTGGGATGGCTGCGGGGACAGGAGGTAACGTTGATGAACCATTTTTGTTTCCCGTGTCGTAACACGGAGGATTTTTAAATACATTCTCCAAAATTAATTATGTATATATTTTCAGTTGATTTCTATAGACAAATCCGGCAAAAAAGAATTAGAAGCCATTACTGCTGGGCCATCCTGTTGGCACACAGGTTGTGCACGGGCATTACGTTCCTATCCAACCAATAGCGTGTCGTGACTAACCAAAGTGCGTGCGCGTACTCAAGTTCAGTCTTTCACATGAGTGTGATGGCCCCGTAGGAATGGCATCTCCTTGGATTTGCCCATACTTGTCCCCACACTGCAGTGATTCCCACTGAGTTTGAACAGACATCGAGGTTTGGACTAGTCCATGGAAATTGAGCATAGATGGAGCCTTCAAGTGGCAGCGGCCATGGCCGTGCATGGTAGCAAATGTTGGTCCGTGATAATTGTCTCAATTATGAAGACAGCTTCATCAAATTATCTCCAAAAAGGAGTACTTATTAAAATCCAGGTTTGGTATGACTTTGATTTAGGTATCTTCTTATTTTACATAAGTCAATATTTTCGACCATTTGTCGTGGAATAACACTGTCAGCTAGTTAATTCATCACATGTGGCAATTTAGATGCCATGCTACTTGTATAAGTCTGGGAAAGAAAAATCTTGGGGACTTTGGTTTTTCAAATGCATGTACATGTATTTGATTCAGAAAACTGTTATTCGGATATTTAATTTACGAGTAAAACCTCAAATAGTTAACAATGCAGCAGCCGTACTGCATATTCCTCCCCAAAATAATTTCAACCCCTGAAAATGTCCGGGTGGTCATTCTGTGAGTTTCTCCAGGTTTGCTGTATCTATTTGCAGTTACCGATGAAAGGTTACTGTTTGCATGAAGGGGTGCAAGGAACATATTGGGTTTTGAGATGCCCATCCATCACTGAAAAGTGTCTAAAGTGACAGACAGTCTAAAGTGACAAACAATCCTTAACCCTCCTATGGTTTTACAGCACAAATGTCCACAGTCACTGGTGAGCATGTAGTTTCTATATGGAACTCAAACATGCACAGGTTCAGTGTGTACACAGTTGGTTTTCAGCACAAAATGACCCAGGGTCTTTTGTGCAGTCCTCTTCACTGCATTTGGTTTACTGCACAATTATACACATGAAACAGTGAAGCACGGTTCTTAGGCAGCACAAAAGTGCAATCTGATATTCCTGTGAGGGACAGTTAGTGCAGTGCACAACACAACACAGCTGTGCTTCTTTGAGGTGTTTACCAAATGACCCAAAGAGTGACTTCAGCATAGGAGGGTTAATAAACAAATGGTTTATGTCATGGTTGAAATTTGGGATGGAAAGAATCCTCCAAACTCTTACATTTTCTTCTGTGATTCTTCTGCTTGCCACACAAGTCTTGCAGCTTTGCCAGTGTCGATGGTGAATTTTCCGGCCGGCTGCTATGCAAAGCTTGGTGGTGGATCCTTCAGTCCTCTCTCCCAAGCATCTTTACAAAGAAAACCAAACACAGATCAACTCAACAGTCTACGGGCACTGCAGAAGTAAGCTCATTCTTACTTTTTCTTAAATTGAAAAGAAAAACCAAGTAAGAGACACCAACTACGAAACTGTTACGGGCCTTCGTATTCATGACATTAACTTCTGTGTGATACACAATAGATACCCAGTTTTTGTTATTATGCTGACAGTAATTGAGTAATTTTAAGTGCTTACAATCGTGTATTTGTACTTCTAGTTATAACTGCAGTGTAAAAATCGGAATGTAGGAAAGAAGAAATTTTGGAGAAAAGAGTGGATTTCAAATGTCATGTAAACGTCAAAATCCCCAGAACTTTTCTCAAAATACGTCTGTAAAAGAATCTGTACTTACCAATGTAAATTCTGCAACCCTTAATTTGGAGGAACCAGCATTGGACAATCTTTGGGATCTGCTCTACAGCAGCTCAGACCATGGGCTCAGCACCAACCGGCTCCAGCATCACGTGTTTGGGTACCGAGGCCCAACGCTCATGATATTAAGCTGTGACGAGGAATATGTGTATGCCGTGGCAGTGGACACAGAGTGGAGGTATGGAAACCAGTTGGATGGGGGACCAGGGAGAAATGCAGGAGGAATGGCGGGCAGAGGTTGCACTTGTTAAAGGTTGCAGGAACATTTGTATCTTAAGAAGTTGAGAGCGCTGACTGAACTAGGCATTTCATAAATGTTGGCAAACCAATTCTTACCAAGTCTAATTGTGGAATGGAATACGACTTCAATAAAAGGTCACTCATTTATTTTTATATCACTTTCACCAATGTACAAAGCATACTCTTTTCTAGACTCCTCCCCCCCCACTCAACATACAAACTGAGGATTAAAAACAATTCTTCGGCGAGTTTTTGTCATTATCTTTAATATCTTCAAAAAGCGTACAAATACCCACAGAGCATATGGCTTATACATGTTTAAACCATAATTAAAAACCGAGAAAGTGATAAAAAAATGAGTTTTGAGAATTGTGGAAGCAAGTTGGAGCCAAGCAGCAGATACATTACATCTTGCATTAACATTCATACTTATTTTTTTCTTGTGGTCACTCCCGCGCAGGGAAGGGACACAGTCTTGGGGAGGAAGTAGTTGTTGCATCATGAGACTGTCACCTGATGTACAGAAACTTGAAGGTAAGTCATCGTCTGAGCACAGCTGATACCATGCGTTGATCAGCACACTTGGTTGGTCCTCGACACCTTGGTTACCTGCTCCCAGCGTACATCTTCTTTACTATGCTGGCCAGTATAGCAAGTAATACGTGCACCACACAATGGAAAAAAATTCAAGATTGTCTCAGAAGTAATCTTATTATTCTCCATCTCAGAGGGTGATAATATGATTTTCTTCAATGATCGATCGCGCAACATGCCTCGAGGTATAAGCGTTGGACGGAACCCCAAAAAGAGAGTACTCACCTTCAAGGAAGGGATGGAGGTTGTTGAACACAACCACAAGAGTGTGCCTGTGCGTACACTGGAGGTATGTCTGATTTGGTGCATAACTTACCTCTAGAAAACAAGTGCTTTTTTAGTTGGGACCCAACCATAGCCATGATCCATGCCACTGTAAGTGAGGTGCAGATTTTTACAATGCTTCATTTTCAAAAGGGATTTTGTTATAAGACCAGAGTACTCCAGAGGCCATAAATCCTGTTAGATTTGATGTAACTCATTCTGTAATACACTACAGCATGCTTGCCATTCATTTTCCACATGGTGGTCAGGTTTGGGGCTGTGGTGACTCTGCAGTAAGAACAGCCCAAGCTAGACAGAAGAAGATGGAACTAAAGGATGCTGAAAGAGCAGCAAAGGTTAGTTAACAAGTCTGACAGTGTTTCAGTGTTTTGTACAATTATAAGAAAACAAAACACCACATTATGTTATAACATCAATATGTATCTTTTCAAAGAAAGTTATCAATGTGCACCAACAGTGGTGCAGTTTATGGCTTGCATTTATGAGCTGCTTAAGGCTTGCTTATTGGCGAGATAATTTGTCCGGATTTTTCCGAAAAATTCTAACTTTCTCTTCCAGGTGAAGCTTCCAGGGCAGTGGGAAGACAACCCCGACAGGTTGCTACTGGAGCTGGGCGGAGTTAAAGTCAACCATGCTGAGCAGTTCGCTAGGGATTGATCACACTACTGCCTTTATCAATCATACTAATTCAGAAGGGGTTAAAACGTCCTAGCCAATGTACAATGATGTACATTGCTGCAAACCTATTCTTATTTAGTGCCAACATCAAATATTTTCTATTGCTGGAGGTCAATTTTCTTTTGCCCAATGCGTAATGCATAAATGGGTCATTCCATGAGGTTGGGGCACAACTTATGATGATGTCAATTGTTACATGGGTTCTGTAAAAATGAACACTTATTTCCCTGCATGTTGATTCAAAATTGACATTGTTATACATCTTGCAAGGCTGAATACAGAGATGTGTGTTATTTTGGGAGAGTAAATTACCTACTCTACAGGCCATGGCAGATGGTAAAAGTTACCCATGTAACAAGGACACTGTCACAAATTGTGCCCCAACCTCATGGAATGGCCCAAATGCATTGGGTGAGCTGTCATACTGGCTGCCTTCATGTGTGATACTGTACTCAATGGGTGCAGGAAAATGAGTGAGCATTATTCGAAGATCACATTGCTTGAAGGGTCCACAATTTACCTTTCTGCCATCTTGAAATAACTATGAGTATGCTCCCAGCCTGATGTCGGGAGCGTACTCTAACTTCCACCTGCTGGTCATATGATGCTGTTCGTGCCCACAGGAATGTGCCAGTAACATGCTCCAAAGCAGCCACTGAGCCTTGGGGGGGGGCGGTTGACTTGAGCAGTTCTGTTGATTACTAGCATGGTCTGCATGCGCAACTACTTCCTCGATGCCGACAAAGAGGCTGGGACCGGCCCTCGACGCCATTGCTGCCTAGCATAAGGTTCCCATAAGCAGATCACACGGTTTAACAAGCATTCGTTTGAACATTAGTCTTGTTACTCCACACCATACACAGAGCACACCTGCAATACGTCAGTCAAGCAATAAGATGCTGCAAGAGTAATTGATCTCTCTTGTATATCCATGAAGTTTATATGTACCTTAATCCAACAAGTTACAATGGGCTGCACCTGCAACAAGCTATTTACAGTGCTTCAAATATCAGTTTTAAAGACAGCAGTGAATTTTTTTTTTCATTTCCAAGTTTGACAGCATGGATGAGACCTTCATCAGAGATTCAGGGCAGTACAACCAAAGGACTTTCCTAGTTTCTTTCAATTGTATAATTCTCTACAACCCAGTTTTTTAAATACATGTATGTACCACAAATGTTCTTACTAGTAACCCGATAGCACGATGCTAAATTGTGATATCGACAATGATTTTAAATTTTTGATGATGCCCGTTATGTTTTATTTGTAATGTTAGGATACGGTACAGTGACAGTCTTGGACAAGTTGATATCCTCAGAAGAAATATTTGTGCTGTGCAATTTTCTATGTAAAGTTTCACATGGAAGTAACTACATGTACATGTATTTAAACAAAATTTACTGATTATATTAAATGAAACTGTTAATTGACACAACACTACTGGCAAACTATTACATGACTTGTTTATTTCGAAACTGCTTGACTTGAACTTTTTACATTAGGTTTTTTTGGACCCTCACGACCCTTGAAGCCGAATTGGGAAGTCCACCGAGAAAAATATCTGTGAGGAGTTCTATCTCTTCTGTTGGATTTTGAGATCAGCTAATGTGTATAGGAAACCTCATCAGTGCTGTACAATGGTTACAAAAACAAATTAATCTTGAATTCGTCCATGAGTTGATGGACTGACTCTCCAACTGAATTTACTGCTCATCAGTCGTAAGGTGGGTGGCTTGAATCAGTTCAGGGTGATTAAGATTACTCACATGATTATTTCACAAATTCCATACTTTAATAGGTGCTGTGCGTGGACCAATTCAAGATTCAAATGGGACTCCTCCACCAAAATAAACTCTATTTGGTGACTCATCACTCTCTTCATCTTGAAGACTTGAAAACTCAAAACAAGACAAAAACAATATGCCCATTTGGCTTTGCTAGTGATGCATAACAGATATCTGAAGCAAAGTTTAATAGAAGGCAATGTTTATGTAGCATTAAGTGTCACAAACTACAGGAAAACGAGATGCAAATTACAAGTGCTGTTATTGTCTCAAAGTTCAAAGAAAATTTGGAAAGAATCAACTTTACAGAACAAATCTTAATCATCTAGAGAGATTAAGCAATATTTTCTTCTGAGTAACTCTTGTATGCATACAATACAATGTTTTGTAAGGATAATAAAAGGTACCATGTTTGTAGGATGGAATGACGCATGCTGTTTGGAGGAATGGAGGTTGTTTTGCATGATAGCGTTTCAGTCGATACAGGACCCAGTGATGCATATCAGGTCAGGTGATGTCAGATCAGGTGACGCTGTCTCAGACTTGACATCACCTGATGCAATATCGTGTGATCAATGAGGGGATGCAATGTCAGGCGGGCGATGTAATCTCACAAGATTTGGGTTTAAGCAGCAGCCAGGCTCCTGATGTCCATGATGAGCTTCTTGGATTGTTCCTTGACGTCAATTGGCTTCACAGACATGCATGTGCACTTCAGTCGAGCCTCCTCCTAAAAGAATTGGGAGTCAACAGAAAATAATCTCGCCTTCAAAGTTGTGTTTTTAAAGTCCATTTGATTTTTTTATAACTACAACTTTTGACCTCACCCGACATAGACATTCATACACAATGCATTCTCAGTGCTTGTCCAAGAGCTTGGGAAAAAATTCACAAGCTTAATATATGTCGGGTAAGGTCAAAACCTGAAACTATTAAAGAATCCCTGATGCATAGTACACCTTGAAATAGTTTGCGGTACCCACTGCAACATCTGACTCGGACCAGCCAGCCGACCCCAACAAGCTCGGTGGTCAAGTGGTTAAGACATCTGCACTATTAAGCAGATGGTAATGGTTCAAATCCCACCCGAGTAAGCTTGTGAATTTTTTCCCAAGCTCTCGGACAAGTATATAGTGTAACAGTGTTTACAAATAAGGCAAGGTTTGCAAAATCTGTAATTATATAAAAAAATAAACCTTTCCCCGATGCGAAGTACATCTTGAAAAAGTCCATTTGAATGTTTCAGGACATCTGGATCCATCTTAAAACACTCTTTTAACCACTACCAGCCAGGGACTCCAAAATCGGAGCCCTATGGTTTATATGTGTGGCCGGGGTCTCCAAACTCGGACAAAGGAAACAGGGCCCTGTAACAAAAGACCGTACTCTGAACAAAAGACCAGGCTGCTGGGCATTACCGGCATTTTTCACTCTCAAAAGTGGTGATAATCCAGCATTATTTTGAAACTGTATACCAGGGTTTGGGGTATTTAGAGCAAGCGGATTACCACCGGGGACAAAAGCTCTCCACCACCGCAGCAATGAGCCACACAGAAAAAGACTACAGCACCCCTGCATGCTAATCTGGCCCCTATTGAAAAGAGGTCAGCAGTGCACTGAGCCAGGTTCATGAAAAAAAAAAAGTTGTATAACACCACACAATCTGGGCTCTGTTTACAAGGCTGCA